GATTATGAACAACAAACAACCAAACCACAAGTAGCGGACTAGTGGGGTTTTTGCCGTTAAGACTTGTAGTGACTTGTGGGGTTCTTGCGGAATTATGGTATTTTTGATCGTATGCATAGGGATACGAACGATACTTCGATACTAGTATGGTATCGATACTTTGTTTCGATTCCAAGTAATTTCATTATCGATACTATTTTATCGATACTTTTACTAATATCGATACTTTTAGTTTTAGTATATTTACTAATAATATTGGCATGCTGCCGCCACCTGTTGGACTATACGTGAACCGCAAAAGTTTGTTCATTTGATTCTTAATTTGACTTGTTTGGGTTAGTTTTTACTCTGTTGTAACTTCTAGAATAAAGAGAGACAGATTATTTTGAAAATGTTTTTTCAACGCGGTGTTTTTAATGTTCTAGGCATTGGCATTGACAATTGACTTTATATTCTTTATATCGTTTTACCAGAGTAAACAAACCGCCGAGTAGCGACAGTCCCGTTTTCAATTTTCTTTGCGGCTGCGCGAAATATGTAGGTTATCTGTCATATGAAGAAGCGAAGTTGCCACTGTTGCCATTTATCAAATATCTCTATATACTTTATTTGAAGTATACCTCAGGCAACGAATGTTTTTTTTAATTATTTATTAGCTGTAAGATATTTTATACATTCAAATTTAGAAATAAGGATAAAACAAAACAGAAAAAATATGTATAAAACTTCATAATTAATTCCACTTCAAATTGTGAGCAGTGTATACCACGTTTATAGGACCACTTCATAAGTTGAGCAGTTAAATATGTAGGTTATCTGTCAAGCACGTGATAAGAGAGAGAAAGAAAATTTGGTCCCACCACATCAAAAGAGCCGACGGTTTCTGTCGCTACTCGGCGGTCTACGTACTCTGGTTTTACATTTTGTTTTTCGTTCTGCAGAGGTGCAAAGTTTTCCATGGTTTTCCTGATTTTTTTTCTCATTGTGTTTTTTTTCCTGGTTGTGTTTCAAGAGTGTTTTGTGACCATTGCCAGCTTTTAATTGTTAAATATTAAGAGAATCTAGAATATGTCTCCACCAAGAAGTAAAATTTGGCAAAGTTTTACCAAATTAGATAGTGTTACTGCTGCGTGTAAAATATGCTTTAAGCATATAAAAACAAGTGGCAATACTTCTAATTTAGCCAAACATTTAAAACAACATCGTGGTAGCAGTAACGCTAGTTCAAGTTCAATAATTATTGATAGTGAGAGTGAAACAGGACTGTCAGAGTCTGATGTAATAGCTGGTCCTAGCAGTACTCCCGGTAGTCCCAGTAGCTCTAAGCGCTTAAGGTATGTTTTTTTATTAAAAAATCAGGTATACAAAAAATCAATATTTTTGTGTTATAAAGAATTTGCATTTGTAAAGAAAACTAGATTATAAGAAATACAACCTTTACAGGTCATCTTTATCTACGTGGGTAACAACTTCAATTTCGAGTGCTGTTGACCATCCCCTTGGAGATTCTGGAACGGGTGAACTAACCACTCAAATGGATAAGGATAATACGGCGAACAAAAATATTGGCTCTTCAAAAACACCTGATCCTACTCTTCATTCATTTACACCTAGCATTAAAGATGCCTTAAAGAAAATTACATCATATAAAGGTAAAATATATAAAGTTAGTATACATACGTAACTATAACGTATATATAGTGTTTTTTATTTTTGTTACAGAGGGAGGGACAAAGCATGCTGCCATTACACAGTGTATCCTCTACTTTATTTGTAAAGACAGCAGGCCTTTTAATTCAGTAACTGGTGCAGGGTTTAGGAAACTAATGCATGAATTATGTCCCTCATATAAAATTCCTCATCCTGACACATTCAAAGCGAAATTAGCTATAAAATATGATATCATGAAATCTATATATGAGGAACGCCTGAGTAAAATTACATATATTTGTCTCACGTTTGACATGTGGACTGAAACAATGCAAACCAAAAGTTTTCTTGGTGTCACAGCACACTTTTTAACAGGAGTAAAATTGTCATCTGTCACTCTAGCCACTAGACAATTATTTGAACGGCACACGAGTGACAACATTAGTGAACAATTAGAGGATATTTTAAACTATTGGAAAATTAACAAACAACAGATTGTTGGTGTAGTAACAGACAATGGCGCAAATGTAGTAAGTGCTGTTGCAAAAACATTTGGACGAAACAAACACATGCCTTGCTTTGCCCATACAGTAAATTTAATAGCTGAGGTAATAACTAAAGATACCTTAATTTTGCCAATTTTGGGTAAAGTGAGAGACATTGTCAAGTGGGCTAAGAGAAGTGTGACAGTTAGTGATAAATTAAGGAAGATACAACTTGACAATGAAGCCTCCGAAGGAACAACAAAAAAACTGATTCTTGACGTACATACGAGATGGAATTCAACATTTTATATGCTGAAAAGATTTTCGGAACTAGCTACAACTGTCAATCAAATTATTATAAATGACATAACAGCTCCGCCAATGTTAACAGCCACGGAGTTAGATTTGGCTAGACAAATTCAAATTGTATTAGAACCCTTGGAATTTGTCACTAGAGAGGCTTCAGGGGAATTCTACATAACAATATCGAAAATAATACCTATGGTGAACTGTTTAAAAAACCAGTTAAGAAAGATGACTACAGAGTTGGATATTGTGAATACACTTAATACACTTAAATCAAAATTGATTGATGAAATAAATAAAAGATTTGGTAAGATGGAGTACAATTATTTTTTATCAGTGTCATGTATACTCGATCCAAGATTTAAAAGAATACACTTTGAAGACCCGCTTGGTTGTTCCAAAACAATTGAGTACATTAGAAAAACAATTGCTAGCCAACAAACCTTCAGTGAGTCAGATAGATCTGATTCATCAAAACAAGGATCACCCAATATGCAAGATCAAGAAAAATATGATTTTTGGGATTACCACAAAACACTGGCACATGCCCAAAATCAAAAAAGTCAGCAGACTTCTTCAAAAATAAATGATGAGCTGACAGTTTATTTATCTAATCCTGTAATGCCCCTTAATTCAGATCCAATGTCCTACTGGGAGGAAGTGAAAAATGTCTTTCCTGGTCTCTACAACATTGCCGTTTCACATTTTTGTATTGTTGGAACATCAGTACCATCTGAAAGGCTTTTTTCTAAAGCTGGTGGTACGGTCACGCAAGACAGAAATCGTCTGTCTAGTAATCTGTTAGAAAAACTGTTATTTCTAGCAGATTGCAGTGAAGATGAATGGTTCCTTTAATAAATCAATAAATATAAATGTTAACATGTGTTTTATTTTTAAATTAAGAAACATTTTTTATTTCATTGTTGATTGTACCCATTCTATCTTTTTACGGTGCATATTTTCTTCTAAACCTAATAGATAACGTCTTTTGCATAATACATATAAAAGTAAATATTACTCAAAATAAAAACTTTTCAATAAACAAAGTGTAAGTTTTTGTTTAGCAAGGGAAAAATAAAAAATTGCTTCAACTCTTTTATTCTCAATCCAATGGTTGTTATTTTTTTTTTGGACAATGCAGATTATCAAAAGAATTAGTACATGATTAAAGCCCCGTTCTCAGAACAGCGAGTGTCGCTGTCGACAGTCGCAGTTCTGAGCACAGACCAAGTTCTGAGAACGGGGCTTAAGAAACAAAAATTTCAAATTTCAATGGAGAAAACAATGTTTACACAAAACGTGTTTAAACCATAGAATAATTAACTGGTTTACACCATTACCATGTTTACACTTTACTTTTTTTGTATGGTATCCATAGATGGCATGTTGGTATTGTGGAATCGATATTTTTTCGATACTAGTAGGTATCAATACTTTCTTTTCGATACTTAGTAGGCATCGATACTATTTATACAATACTTATTCGATACCAAGTATCGATACTTTTCAAACGATATCGCGTCCCTACGTATGCATCACGGGCTGACTTATAGCACTTTTCCCGAATTCGTTTGGTAGGAACGTTATGACTAGCATGGACATACAGGGTGTCCCACAATTAGTGCGACAAACTGAAAGGGGTTGTAGAAGGCATCAAAACAAGTCATTTGAGTATAGGACTGCTCAAAAACTGCTCAAAGTGCCGTCCATGCGTGTGCATTTGTGTCTTCAACAGAATGGACGGCACTGTGAGCAGTTTTTGTAAATGTTTTGAATAAATAATGCAACTTGAAATTTATGTTTCACTCCACCTCCTGCCAAAACGGCACATTTCCGGACATGGGTTCCTATACTCAAATGACTTGTTTTGATGCCCTCTACAACCCCTTTCAGTTTGTCGCACTAATTGTGGGACACCCTATATACAGGGGGTTTCAAAAAACATGTGCCATCTCTCGTGGGGAGATTCCTCGCGTAAAAATAAGATTTATTTTTCATATCAATATAGGTCCGATTCTGCTTTGTTTCGTAGCTACAGGGTGTTAAAATATTAATATTTTTTCGATTTATTATAATTTTCTTCCAAGTTCTTTTAGCGTTTCGAATGAAATTTGGATGGTAAAAGTTACTATAAATGCGACATATTTTAAAGCTAAAAAAGTGTCGACATATTCACCAGGGACGTGCATATGGATCACTGGAATATTTTTCTAAAAAAAGCATGTACGCTACTGACTTTTTTCCTTTTGTTAGCGAAGTAGTGTAAGTAGTTTAATGCCGATTAAAAGTTGTGGATTTCAGCCTTCTTGATGAGATAAACGCAATTTTATTAATTTACCATGATCCAAGTCTAATAGCAACCTATAAAAAACTCTAACTTTTTTTTATACCCAAATACCTAGGAAAATTTAGGAGTAGGAGTAGGAATAATAGAAAAAGTGGCTTCTTTACTACATTTTAAAAACTGCATTCTATAAAAGGTTTTTAAATTAAAAGAATTACGTGAAGTATCCATTAAGCTAGACATTGGAAACGTTCTATCTTTTCAATTTGTTTCAGGTTTACTTACTGCAATTAACTGTTGGAGCACGAGATGGGCCATGACAATCCAGAGCGTTTTCACTTCGGCTAAGCTGTTTGCTCTCGTGGCCATTATCCTTACTGGAGTTGTCTATATATTTACTGGTAAGGTTTGCTACTATAAAGAAAAAAATGTTTTTTGTTTGTCAAAAAAATTAAAAAATAATTTTTTAATTGATTTTTTGTTTGATTTTCTTTAAATCAGGATTGATGTATGTATAGTTTGTCCAACGAAAGATAATACTATTGCAGTGATACTTATTTTGTCATTTTAATTTAAATGTACTTTTTTAAACTACATTAGCGCGCCTAGTAGTACGAGAGCTAGCAACGTCGGAAAAACAAGTATTTTAAAGGTTGTCGCCCACTAGACCGCAGCGCGACGCGGCGCGGCGCCATGTGGAAATTTCTTTTGTCTGCTTGCCATGTATTTAAATGGACCAACGCACATCAGAGCGCGCAGCGCAGAAGCGCGCCGCGGGATTTCCGTCAAGAAGTCGGAAGACTTCTCTAGCAACTTTTTTCCGTCTCCCGCGTTTTGGCGCGTTGCAGTTGCGTACTCACATTGGAAATAATTTTGCATTCGAGTCTTTTCAGTTGGCTTTTTGACTAGGAACTAGTGATACGTATCAATGGTAGAATTGTATTTTTAAAGGTAAATTAGGCAAATCGATTTTCATAAAGGAATATGATATTTTTTTAAGTCTTCCCTCACTAAAGACAGATGGACGAAATGCCGTTCTATCAAAGATTTAATATAATTGAGGGGTGTAGAGGCAAAACCGGCAATCTCCACTTTTTAACAAAAGTGACAATCTCCAATTTTTAAATTCTAATTACCTAAATATATAAAAAAGATCAGGGTTTTTTTCACCACATAACTAATATACACATCAGAATAAATAAGAATTATCAAAAGTATTAGTAATTTGTCTCTTCTGAAAAAATATGATGAGTAGAGATGCTCGGTGTTTTGCTTCTAAAACCCTCAATTGAGGAGTGCGTAAAATGTTTCCTTTATATTTTGTAATACTGAAAAAAATGATCTTGTCTTTTATTAAATCTGGAAAAAGATGGTAAAATTCTCCAAACTTCTTTCTTTTTTGTTATTCGTATGAGTCCAAACTTTTCCTCACCCCCTCTTCCTCTTCCTCTGTTAGAAGAGCACAAAAAATACGCTTTCGTCCGTACTTGAACTCATTGCTTTAAAAACTAAACTACAGTAAGTAAAAAACACTTCGACTATAACTAAATAGCGTTGCCGCGTTTCAAAAGCGCGCTATAGTGGGCGCAGTTCCTTCGCAGCCGGAAAAAATTCTCTTCCCAGCGCCGCGCCGCGCAGTGGTCTAGTGGGCGACAACCTTAAGACGTCTGGCTCTTTGATATATCTTTTACTATGCTCTCTAGAACAACATGCGGCTGGCTGCCGGTAAACTTTGCGTTCCCCACTGCGCATTGAAAGAAAATCCTATATTTTTATTAGTCCTTTAAATTCTAGTATTGAATATAAATCGAACATGTCTCCATAGCGCAGTGCGTAGAGTTTCCGACCACGAACCGAGGATTCAGAGTTCGAATCCGGGTCAGGACAAAGAGTTTTTTATTTTATTTTCGTTTATATTCCGATAGTAAAGTATTATATATATATTGTTTTTAATCACCAGAATTATTTAATACTTTCCTATCAGAATATAAACGAATAAAAAAACTAAGATAAAAAGATAAAAAAAATAAAATAAAAAAACTTCGTTCGTAGTCGGAAACTCTACGTACTGCGCTATGGAGACATTTTCGATTTACATTCAATACTAGAATTTATAGTACTAAATAAAAAAAAATATAGGATCTTCTTCCGATGCGCAGTAGTGAACGCAACGGGTATCGGCAGCCAGACGGGCCGCATGCTGTTCCAGAGGGCATAATAAAAGATAATCAAAGAGCCAGACGTCTTAAAATACTTTCTCGAAAACGTTGATAGCTCTTAGACTATAACATTTGCGCTGGGTGTATACAATTATAGTAAGACTCATGATTACTTATGGAACAATTGTTTGGTACACAAAACTGGAGCAGCGTACAGCAAGGTGTGAAAAAAACCTGTGAAAAATGCAGACTAGTATGCATTTTCATCACAGAAGCCATGTACTTTTTGCCCAACAGCAGCAATGGAGGTCATTCTAGACCTAACACCATTGCACCTTGTCATCGGTAGATATGGCAATACGGCAATGATTAGAATGGTCATTGAAGGAACCAGTACCGGGAGAATTATCAGAGGAGCTTGGAATACCTCCAAAAGGAAAATTCTACTCCTCCAACTCCCAGTAGATGATATACCAAGAATGTACAGGGTGGGTCAAATTCGACGCTTTTAAATGGAAACACCCTTTTCTATAGGAAATAGACAAAAACTAATATCGGTGTCTGGAGCTCAATTTTTGTCAAAAACATTATGGTGAACCGCATATCGATATCTGTTACCGTTTCGGAGTTACGGGGTGTTTTTAACATTTTTAACAAATCGCTGTAACTTTTTTGCTATGGAAAATTTTGTATTTTTATGAAAACATTTCCAAAGCACCTTTTTACGTAGAATTTAATGGTTTAAGTATAATTTTTTTAAAATTAATAATTCAAGAATTATCAACAGAAAATTTTATTTCTTATATGAGACACCCTGCATATTTTTAATTTATTGAAAAGAATTTAAAATTACCTTTCCAAAAATATAACACACTTGATATTTTGCTCGATTCCTTTTCGAGATATAGAGTATATAAAAATTCGCCCGCTTTAAATAAGTAGGCTTTGAACGGCACCGGCTGTAATGCAAAAAAAATTCTAGCTGTGAGAATCAATTAAAACGAAAATAATATCTGCTATGAGAGATGCAGAATTTTATAACAATTTAAAATATATTTAACCAACATCAACACATTTAAACTATATCTAATAACAATAAAAATAAATAGCAAACCAAGACATGAGATTTTGCTACAGGTGTTCGACATATCGACCGTCTTCTGTTATGGACAGATGGGGCCGTTTTTGAACATTTCTCGCGGAATTCATTAACTCAGTGGGGGTGAAAGATACCCTCTCATAACTGCTAAGTATTTCTAATTCTTGTCTAGATTATACGGAAGAATAAGGAACCTTTATTCTTCAGCAAATATATCCATAGGATTAGATCCATGGGCACTAAGTCAGGCGGCCTCGACGGCCACCGGCTGGGATCTTGGTTAGCTATTCAATTATTCTTGAAATTGGCTACAAATATTTGCTGATAACTTCAACGTTCTGAGGCGGTGCGTCGTCTTGCTGGAAAAATATGTTTTCGAGTTCCATTAAGGGCATATCATCAATAAGGGGTCCAAAGCCTACTAGTTAAAAGTGGCGAATTTTTAAATATTCTGTATTTCGAAGGGGATTATAACAAAATATCAAGTGTGCTATATTTTTGGAAAGGTAATTTTAAATTCTTTTCAGTTAATTAAAAATATAGAGGGTGTCCAAATAAAAAAACAATTTTTCTGTTGATAACTCTTAAATTATTAATTTAAAAAAAAATATACTTAAACCATTAAATTCTACGTAAAAAGGTGCTTTGGAAATGTTTTCATAGAAATACAAAATTTTCCATAGCAAAAAAGTTACAGCGATTTGTTAAAATTGCACATTTTTGAAAAACACCCCGTAACTCCGAAACGGTAACAGATATTGATGAGCTGTTTTCACCATCATGTTTTTGATGAAAATTGAGCTCCAGACACCGATATTAGTTTTCGTCTATCTCCTATAGAAAAGGGTGTTTCCATTTAAAAGCGTCGAATTTGACCCACCCTGTACAAATTTGAAAAACACTCATAGTTGTATCTATGAGTTCTCACTGTAGTATCGAGCACCAAGAAGAATTGTAAGAGAAAAACGTTTGTTCAGCAGATAAAAGACCATACAATAACGTCGTATACTGATGTTTCCAAAACTAAAGCAGGAACAGGGATAGGAGTATTTAGGCCGAAAACTAAATACTCCGAACCATTGGGTACCTACCGCAGCATCCATTGGGCAGAAATCTACGAATCTATCGAAAGATGCGTACTTATAACCTAATTTATCTTAGATAAGAACTACCGGAAACAAGAAATAACCATGTTAGTAAAGCGGCATTAAAAGCGATCAACAACCATCAATTCGAAGTTGGTCAAAGAATGCCTAGAGAAGTTGAACAAATTAGGCAAAGAAAATAAAAAAAAGTCCTCCTACTCTGTGTACCAGCCCACCAAAGGTTAGAAGGAAATGAAGAAGCAAACGATCCAGCTAGAAAAGGAGCGAAAACTCCACTAACTAGAGCAGAACCGTTCTGCTTCGTAAGTGAAAACCAACGTAAAGCCAAGACACTCGAAGAAATTTCTCAGAAATTACGACCGAGAAAATTATCTTGAGTTATAACGAGTTATATTTGTAGTATAAGTGGACACAATAGATCTATAAGGTCACGTGGTTAACTCCCCCCATACAATCAACAAACTACATTAACGTTTCCTTTTCGTATTTTCTGATATCTTGCCAATCCCATTTTTCACATGTTTTAAGATCTTTATTGAAAATTGTTGAAACTTGGCTTAGGCGATAAGACAATTTTTATAATATTATGTCGTTCAAACTGAATTAATTCTACACAAAATCCTCTTCTGTATATTTCCATTTGTTGCGCTTTTTAGAAATTAACATTTTTTAACATTTAAACATAATTCTCATAATATAATTTTGGATTTTAAGGTCATACAGAAAATTTCCACAACGCATTTGACGGAAATTACGATGCATCTAGTATAGCTTTGAGCTTCTACTCAGGATTATTCGCTTTTGGTGGCTGGAACTATCTTAATTTTGTTACTGAAGAATTACAAGATCCGTACAAGTAAGTAAAATTATAGTTTTCTTTTAAGTTAGGTTAGGTTAGGTTGCTGGGGTTTGCGACGATACCCCTGTTATCAGGGGCGCCGCCGACTGCGTGGGTGCTCGGGTGCTCAAGCACCCACGAGCATAAGCATCAAAACTAATCAGTTTAGCAACTTTAATCCTTAAGTACTAACACCCCGTCTCACAGACGCAAAGGACTAGCTGGACATATGACATCTCCTCTCCTCTCCACTTCTAATTATGATCCAACTATGTAATTTCAATACGCATCAAAACAAGTTAAAGGCCGGCAGGGCAATTTGCGAAAGTGTGTAGTTTTCGAAATATTTTAGTTCAAACTGTCGATGCCGTCTGACAGACGGAGTGTTAGCGTTAACGTAAGTTTTTTTTTAAATTTGTGGAATGAATGAAGAACCTAGTAGCTCAAAAAATGTAAAGTATGGCAAGAAAGATTACAAGGATACTCTTCTAATGTGGTTTGAAGGGACTGGCAGCGATAATAGCAAAATAGTGACAAAGAATCCGAATGTGGCGAAATTTTTGCCATAGAGAGCGATCATAATTCTGAATTCGAATTAGAAGCTAAAAAACGGTTTTTTAACTAATGTCTAATGGTATGTAGCTGTATATGTTTTGATATAGATGATGAAAATATGGATGTGAACGATCAGTAAACTAATATCGAAGAAAGTGAAGAGAACAATTTGTTTGGAATGCGCAAAAAAGTGTGTAGGGAACAAGCCCATCTTTAGGCATTGTCATTTTTTATTCTTTATATTTTCTTTTGCTTTTTTTGTGCTTAATCGATAGGTTTTTATATGCTAAATATAATAATCAATATATTTTTCATTTTCCTTTCGCTTTTTTTTCTATCTCGATGAGAAACAAAGATATGTCAAAAATCCAAAATTAGTACTTTTATTTCAAAAATATAAAACATGTTCGCATAATATAAGCATTAGATATTTTTTTCCTGTAGTTTTAATGCTAATGATTCACTCCACTTACAAAAAATCTGTTAGACACGAACAAAATATGATTTTTTTTTAATGCGTCTCTCAGACGGTCTGTTAGTATAGGCGCGACTATTTCAATATGTTAGTACTTAAGGGTTAAGACACTCGCATCTCATCCAGCCCAATTCCCAATTCCAGACGTTAATTTCAGTAGTTCTAAGGAAGTTTCCTCGTTTAGTCTTAGATAGTTAAATCAATCCTGTTATTCAACTGTTAAATCAGCAAGCAAATTAACATGGCAATACTTATTTCCTTTAAGTAACCGTTGTTTTTCTGCTTTTTTACTTATTGTATAAGCGAATAAAATCAAAGACAGATGTGTATTTCGGGAGGCCATTTTTACTTAGAAAAAATGTGCCGAAGTGAGTCCGTAACTCAGTTCATTATAGATAAAACTGTACTATAAAATTGCGTGTGTGTGCGACAGGCTGTAATACAGATTAAACTTCGTAGACTGGCCTGTACAGTCTGTCTGTGTTTAATAATAAAAATAAAATAAATAACTGTGCGTTTGTGGGGGCTCTAAAAGCGTTTAGAGAGTTTATAGATTTATACAAGGTGAGTCTTAAATTAGTACAATTCTTTTAGGGGTGGTATATTTTGACCCCAGAAACACGTCAATAAGGTTTCTTTCGCGATTTTTTTTTAATTTGGTATTTTTCGAAAAAAAAATGGAATTTTTTAATTTTTAACTAAACGTTCTCCAACCCAGTGTGAGTACATATCAAAGTAAAACCTCTGACGAGGGGTAAGGGGACAAACAACTCACAAAAGTTCTTTGTCCCCTTACCCCTCGTCAGAGGTTTTACTTTTTTAATTTCTAGTTAAAAAATATAGTATCTTAATATTATGGCAACATAGGTAGTAGATTATGTTTACAAAAAAGGAAACCCAGAAAAAAAAACAGTGGTTCTCAAAACATGGGTATAAAATACATATTTTTTTATTTTTAATAAGTAAAATAACTCGGTTTATTTTGGGATTATTTGAAAAAGATAAAGCGAAAACATGTGTTTCTTTTATCGACATCTACCAGCCCTGAAAATATTTATACTATTTAAGACTCTCCCTGTGTATTAATTATAATTATTCTAAATTGGAAGCGAATTGTAAACTACATTAGGAATGTGTGTTTATATCCACGATAGTTCACTGTCAATCTATTTAGCTGGCCAAGTATATGAAATGTGCTATGTAATGCGAAAGCTTGTTGTGTATGATTATATTGTGTTTATTTTTGAGAATTTTTAGTCTTGACCGATAAATTTGTTTATATATAAACTCTAAAGCTGTCCCCCTCCCAATTTCAGATATCCCTCCACTAGTAGCTCTTCTCAGCAACATTTAGCTTCGTTTATTTTGTATCTCTTTATAAAATATAATTACAGTATCTGTCTGTTGTTTTAATGCCTGCCCTTACACGATTGTAATGCTTGGCCTCGATCTTTCACCAAAACATCAACATTTTGTTTTCGTTCGTATAATTGACAGATGGGAACGTTCGTTTTTAATTTAGAAAGAAATACTAAAAAGTCAAATAACCTAGCTACATATTGCTTAAGCAATCATCAAAATCGGCCCACTAGAGCAAAATATAGTAAATTTTAAAATACATCAAAATTTTAAGGTGCCAGTTTTTCGTGCCAGTGCCAGTGTGTGTATTTCTGATTTGCAGAAAACGATCAAATGTAATTTAAGGTCCAGCGATATAACATATAACAAAATACGACTTCATATTTCTAAACTTGTTCGAGACTTTTTTATTCCTCTTTCTATATCTCTCAAATTAGTTCAATTCAACGAAAATCAGTTTTGCGCTTTAACTTTTGTACTGCGTAGGAATGTCCTAACGAATTCAATTCCGAAAGTGCTTTTATCTATCTCCCGCAATCATTTATTTTCAACGGCTAGCCGATGTTTTATTCAGAACTCACTTATCTCTTTTAAAAATACCAACGGTCACTTCCTTTATTGCATTTAAAAGTGCTAATTATACGGAGCAATCAATAATGACTGAAATAGTTGGCAATACTGTGTTAGAGGTTTTAAGATTATTGATTGGGGCTATGAACAAGAAACGACGTCTCAGTGAATTCATGGTAGGCTTTAGAAAAAAGTTGCTTTTAAAGGGATAGTTTAAACATCAAAATATTATTATATCAACATTTTGAGAGTCTCAGCGGCGTTTTTATCTTTTGATTGCTTTTCTAAAAATTCCTTTCTTCAAAAGAGAAAAAACGTTGCTAAGACTATCAAAATGTTGATCTAATAACACTTTGGCGTTTATACCATTACGTCAAAAGCAACTTTTTTCCAAATCCTACCATGACTTCGCTAAGGCGTCGTTTCTTATTCACTGTCATTGATATCTTAATTATTAGATATTAATACATCTGGCATTATGGTATTTTGGTATATTGTCTATTTTAGAATAAACTAATCGTTTCTATCTTATTTTTTATTAGAATGGTCATAATTAAGATGGCTACTGTAACCATGTTATAAAAAAAGGTAATTAATTAGGGGTAGTGATGTTAATATTTCAGAAATTTTTGATTGTTGCATGAAATTTCCGAAACTTTCGGAAACTTTCGGAAATTTAGGAAATTTTACAATTTTACATATCTTTTGTTGATACAATAAAGGAATAAATTAGATAGAGACATTTGATACCAACATGTAATTGGAAAAAAAACAAACAATAAACATAATATTAGTTGTTATATTTTTAATAAACAATACATAACCATTGGCGTAAATACAGGGGTGCCCGGGGGTGTCGCCCCCCCCATGTACTGCTGGGCACTCCCCAGAGAAATCCTGAATTATGACTATTGGCTACGTATTCATTTTTATTTTCTTGTGATGCAGTAAAAAAATGACGTTTTCTAGTTTTATTTAGTTAATATTATTTTGTTGTTTTCAAAAAAAATTAGTTAATTTTTATTTTTTAGAAAATTTGTAGGTATTTAAGTAATCTACGGGAACATGGTTTGATAACCAAGTATATGAAATTTATTGATAGAGAAATTCATGTAAACGTTTTATTCAAAAAATGTGTTTTTTAAAATTATTTTTCATTTTTAAAAAAACAAAAGTCCTAGGCCCCCCCTGGGCTTAACCCGGGGGGGGGGGCCGTAGCGGCTATGTGTTCTTCATTGTTAAGGCGCTCTCCCAGGAAACAGAGGGATCCAAGAGATTCGCGGCAAAATGCATTGGTTTGGTTTTAAGTTTTCTATTTTCTAAGTGTGCGAACACAGTGCAAGCAGGTTTGCCGCTTACTGGTAGTCAGCGCCAATCTGGGCACCTATTCTTGACATCGTTCGCAACTTTGCGTATACGCATCACGTGTATTGTTATAAACAGGGTATCCCAGAAATAAGTGCAAGTATTTTAAAGGGTGGTAGATCTCGATAAAAGAAACATATTTTCTCTGTATCGTTTTTCAAATAAGTCCAAAATAACGGAGTTATTTTATTTTAAAAATTTCCAAAAAAAATGATTTTTTGCTAAAATTTTGAGAACCACTGGATCTTTTCTGGATTTTCTTTCTTGTAACTTTAATCTACTACCTATGTTGCCATATTATCAAGAAATTATTTTTTTTTCATAAAAACTAAAAAAAATTCCAAAAAAATTTTCAAAAAATTCCGAATTTTCAAAAAAAAATTATTCAGACAAAAACCTCATAGGCGTGTTTCTGGGGTTGAACTATACTACCAGTTAAGTTAAAATACTTGCACTTATTTCTGGGACACCCTGTATGCGGGTACATAGTAGCGCCGCGCCGCGCCGCCTCGTGCTTATAACCTTGAAAAATTAAAGCGTGTTATCAAATCGGCAAGTTCAGAGTGAAAGCAGGCAGGCACCGTCAACCAGCGTTCATCGGCGTTCTCGCTTTTACCGGAACGAAAATTTATTTATTTCTGCTTTTGGACGCGCCGACGGCGCACAGAGGGTATTAAGAACTAAAAGTTGGCCAAAATTATGTTTTATGATTTTTTAGTAATATTAATTATTAATTAATTATTTAATTATATTATTAATTTTAGTAATATTAATTATTAATTAAGACACAAAAAAATGCTTACTATGCCAAATCACAAAACGGCCATGTTTCGGAAATCGTTTACTTACAACTCTGTATGTATTTTTAATAATTTAAGAAAAGATATTCAAACTTTGTTTTTTCTATGTTCATCATTTAAATTTAAATCAAGTCTGAAAAACTATTTATTGCTGGAACAACAGACCCCAAGCTTAGGATAATTATTGTGATATTTTTGTTTGATTGTTACTTTTTAAATTTTTTGTGTTTGTTAAAACGTATTGGTCCATACAATCGAGCCACATTTATTGCTCATTTTATTTTTATTTTCATCTGGACATTATTTTCGAATTTATGTTTCTTTTCTTATTATGCATATTATAAATGTATTGATTAGGTTAAGTATAAATGGCTCTGTGGGCTAGACTTCGCCTATGTAATTAATTAATACATTATTGTAATTGATTAATTATTAATAAAGACCATTTATTATTATTATTATTATATTTGAGCGAGGATGGGTGTTATAGGGTAAAGACTATTTCCTTTAAGAATCCATTTAAATCAATGTTTTTTTTTTGGCAGTGGCAAATATTAGCAAGATTTTTGTACATATTCCAAAGCTGGAGACTTTAAGCATTGAACGGATACTAATTTCCATGCGGAATATTGCCGAATAGTCTTAACCTTATAAAAATGTCTCTGATTTTTTAAATATAAAACATTATAAAGAAATAGAATAGAAGGAATCGTTTCAAAATAAAAATATGGCATAAAACAGGACTTGCCAGCTGGCTCTGTATCCATCATGACAGTTATTATGAACAATTTGCACAAAAAGCACTACAAACAATTCCACTATTTTTATAATCTTAGAAATATTCAGAATACACTCAAGATAATTCATACTTATAATTGAAATATATTATTTATTTGATAGTCAACTTACGACTTAAAAAAAGCTAATAAACGTGCTTACATTTAGTATTTATAGATTTGTATTCAGTTAAGATAAAAAATGAAAATAAAAAAATATCACTTTTGGCCAGGTTTATAGACCAAATACCCCTATGTGCGGCGCCGGCGTTTGAATATGGTTTGGTTAGGTTAGGTTAGTTAATCAGGTAAATTTCCTCTTAATTAACTACTTCCGAACCCTGCTCACATCTCCGAAAAAGCCATATAACAATACACGTGATGCATATACGCAAAGTTACGCATCACGTGTATTGTTATATGGCTTTTTCGGAGATGCGAGATGTGAGCGATATTTGAAGATGCGAGTGATCAAGAACAGGTACCCAGAGACGGCGCTGGCTGCCGGAAAGCAGAACCTGCCTCCACTATGTTCGTACCCTAAGGCGGAGAAGCATTCCTTTTCTTCTGATTTAAGAATAGGCATACTTGATACGCTTTCGTTAAATTTTTGCTCAATGTCTTGAATTTTGAAAAGAAATTTCTTGCAAAATTCGGATTTTTGCGAATATTCGCGATTTTGGGACCGAATATTTCGGAAATTTCTGAAATTTCCCGCAAAATTCGAATGGAAATATTCGCTACCAACATCACTAATTAGGGGCTTATTTTTTCGAATTTATTATAATCTTGCTAATATCTTCGGTTTGAAAGGGGATTTCAAGATGCGGTTTTCGCTGACTCTTTTAAGGTTTTATTACTCTTTACTATCAGCTAAAAGTACATATATTTTATTTTACATGCATTTAATTTTTTTGGAAAAACGCGCAATGTTTGTTAAATTGTAAGACAAAAAGTTTATTTTTATTGTTTATACTGTATAATATCGAGTAAGAAACGCTCTTTTAAACGAGCCCCCATTTGTTGGATTCCGTTCATCCAGTCCAGAGTTATTAATATTTAAATAAAAACAGCTCTAACCTTCCGCCACCGCTTTTTTTTATTTTGACATATACTGGAAAATGGTTCTAACAAATAATATTGTTGCGAACCGGTGTGGACTCGACCTAACCTAACTATATGTCCCGCCCTCAGATGACCTTAACATCGCATTAAAGAATAGACACCGTAATGATTAATTCGTTCGAGAAGAATCGAGTCCCACTGGAATGGACTAGTACATACGAGAACATTCGAAAACCTTCTCTATGCACCTAACGATCTATGGACTATTCTAGATTTCTTTTGCTGTAGGTATAAAAGCCGGCGGCTGTGGCCTAGAGAGGGCAGTTATAAATATACAAGTGCAGTTGACGCGCTAAAATTCAAAATAAATTCTTAGTTATAAATCGTTTGTAAATAGTTCTATAAGTCTTTTATCGTTATTGTTTTTGTTAATTAGTGTTAAATAAGTAGTGTTTAAATAAATTGTGACTTTCTATCGTAAACAATATTCATAATTTACTGAAGATTATTAAGCTATTATTTATAGTACACGTTATCTAGACAAAATTGCGTAAAAACACCTTTTTCTTATTTTTTATAGCAGTTGCGCCCTCTAGCGGCCGTTCTACAAACTTGAAAATAATTTGCAGCAATTTCTCATAGCCTCTTTAGTTATAAATATTCTTTTCCACGGCTAATTCTTTCCGAGATACAGCCGAGAGCTATTCTTAGTGGTACACCCTGTACAAACGCCCCCAAGAGACAAATAACATTGGTTTTGTAGTTTGTAGACAGTTGCTAATATCCTTAATATCCACAACGAATTGTACGGAGAATCTAATGGTATGTTAGATTGAAGCAATAAAAAGTTCGCAGAAATGACAAATTTTCAATTTATATTTATTTTTTATATTAAAGCCCCATAACATGGTTTATGAAGTGCTGCTTATTTTATTACCGAATTATGTAGGAAAGAAATAATAGATCCCATTTTCAGATATAATCAGATACTGTTAAAATGACTAATACAATTTTTAGTTAGTGACTAATAAAAAAATATTTATATTAGTCAATATTGCTTTTTTTTATTATGAGGAACAGTATTTCTAATTACTAATTTACTTAGATAATGGCACCCTTATGGCACGTAATAATTTTTCAATTCTCGTAAATTTATTTACGACGGCGTATTAAACGGGAACTCCTACGGAACGTGTTTATTTAATTTTTATATCATTGCAATTAAACCTTTACATAGACTTTTAGTCGACTTTTGTAGATATACAGGGTGAATCTTAAATAAGTGCAAATAGTTTTAGGGGTAGTATATTTTGACCCCATAAACACGTCTGAGGGTTTTTTATCGCGAAAATGTTTTTTTGTAGATTTGGAATACCGGTATATAATGGTACAGAATACTATGATATACAGGGTTGTTCACCACATACGACACGGAGTATTGTAGCTAAACGGCTAGATTTTTACAAATTGTAAGTTTTGGGTTCGTTGAAGGACTATTAGAGCTGCAATTTAAAAATATTTTTACAAGATACAGAGTGTCCCAAATAAATAAAAAATATCAAAGTTGTATTTTTTTAAATGGAACACCCTATATCATTTTTAGTTTCTACGATTAAAATAAAGGTAAATTTGATTAAGGTTTATTACACTTAAATCTTACTTAGACTCTTATTGCCGTTTAAAGCTAGTAATTATTTAAAATAAATTTTTAGACACTCTGTATAAGGTAGTATAATTTTTATTATTGCAACACAATAACTGATCAATAAATAAACTTCAGTAAATATTTAGTATTAAAAACTTTGATATCCTCGGAGAAATGAAGCCTTAAAATTTATACTGCAATTTCGTAAAATTGAAAATATTTCAAAAACGGTAAGGTTTCGGAAAATCGACTATACATATATATCATACTTTACGCAAAATTGTAAAATTTCCAGGGATTTTGTGCCTAAACGATTGACTTTCGCGAAAATTTTCATAGAACCTTTTTTATAGGAAATTTTATTCTCTTTAATTTTTCTCTCTTCAAATTTTTACGAAAAACGCATAATTTTCGAGATATTTACAAAATACCGATTTCGGGCGCCATCTTGGCAAGATGGCGGCGCCGGCGGCGCCGGCGGCAAGTCTGGAAATGTGCATTTTATGGATTTTAGTAAGGGACCCCAAAACCTATAAACCTGCAAAGTTTCAAAAGATTCCGGACTTTTTTCCAGGCAAGCTCCTTTTTGATCCCTAATGACTGAACTACTAGTGCTCTCCTGTAAAATTAGTAAAATGGCGCTTATCATGTTATTCCCCTGGACTCTTCATTTGTTTCCCGACAAATTATTAAGAGATAGATAACGTCAATAATTTTTGGTTCTGTTTGATAGAAATTCTTCTTTTTTTTCAGAAATTTACCTAAAGCCATATGGATCGCACTGCCTCTGGTAACTGCAATCTACGTTTTAGCGAACGTAGCCTACTTTTCGGTGCTATCCGGAGTCGAAATGGAGAGTTCTTATGCAGTTGCGCTGGTAAATATTTAAATAGGTAGAATCATTTTGTTTTTGACAGTTGACACGGTCAAAGTGTACTTGGATCAAATACACTGTATACAGGGTGGTCCGAACTGTATTCCGGAAATTTCGGCAACATATTCTAAAAAAGTTCGTATAAATGTATGTCCTAAAATGCTTAGTTTCAGAGATTCAGGGGCAGAAGTTTAATTTTTATTTCGATTTTTTCCAAATATTTTCTGAAGGAACGTCAATATTTGGATGAAAATTGGTATCTGGGAGTTTTTTGACATGAGAAATTTTATTTTGATGTCTTACTTATAGAGTGCGCCACCTACATATTTTTTTAACTGGTTTGAAGATTATTAACTTTTCGTCTGTACCTGTATAAAACTATTGAGTAAAAAATATACATTTGACGTTTTTTGTGTAAAAATGTTCTCTTGGTAATAATCGCTACGAGTAAAATGGTTCTCGAGATATTTGGAATTTAAATTATCAATACCTGTCATCATTGATAAACTAAATATGTTGACTAAATAGTTATTAGTTTGAAATCATACATTTGAAATGTTTTTATGCCAAAAGTTCAACAGAAACTGTTTTATCATCATTTTTTCGAAGAAAATTTTATGATTAATTTCCCAAATTTATCATTACAGTCATAAAACTATCTACTCTCTCAATATGTTTATTTTTTATTAATAATGACATATCGTATTGACTATTTTCTCGCTCGTAGCGATTTTTACCAAGAGAACTTTTTCAAGTAAAAAAAGTCACAAATGTATATTTTTTATTCAGCAGTTTTATACAGGTACGGACGAAAATTTATTAGTCTTCAAACGAGTTAAAAAATATGTATATGACTCCTACAAGTAGGAGTCATATGAACATCAAAATCAAAATTCTCATGTCAAAAAACAGACATTTATACGAGATTTTTTACTTATTTTTATCTGCAGTATATGCAGGCCAAAGTTTCCGGAATACAGGTCGGACCACCCTGTATATTCACCACAAAATATTTACTAGAAAAAATATTTATTTCAGACTTTTGGAATGAAAATGTACGGCAGCGTGGCCTGGATGGTTCCCATATTTGTCGCCCTATCGTGCTTTGGAGGCGTTAACGGCATTTTATTCACTTCGTCGAGACTTTTCTTAACTGGATCGCAGGAAAACCACTTGCCAGAACTATTTTCATATATTCATATGCGACGTAATACTCCCATTCCCAGTTTAATATTCACCGTAAGTATTTCTGAAATAAGGAATTTTATATCCTTATCTTTCTTAGGTTGGTAGCTGGTAGCTTAATATTTTTGCATTATTCAGTGTAGTGTTATAGGCTACAAGGACATGTAACGCCCATATACGGGCTGTAGAATAGTTGGTTGTGTTCGTGAACTTTGTATAAACTCTATTACAATGGTAATTTGTTCGGCTTTCAAGTGTAAAAGGCACAATAATAAGAAAGAGCCAGGAGTTACGTTTTATAGGGAAATAAACAGTCCACTCCACCTTTTTAGCTTTTTTTTATTGAATTTGATTAAAATTAACAAATTATTTTTTTGATATTATATGTACTTGATATGTGCTATACGTCGATACTAGTTTTATACCTTTTGTTAACATTTTAAAACGTTTTTTTCGTAACTAATTAGGAGGATACCACCAGATACACCATAGGCGTAGTAAAACCATTTATCAAAAATATAAATATCCCTTTAAGCAGCTAAGTTAAGAAAATAATATGGCCACTGCACTGTTTGGAGCCATGGCAACAATTTGGTCTCGGGTGTTATATGTCCTTGTATTCTTTAGTCATTGCTTATATCCTTTTCTCTATAGATCAGAGGCGTACCTAGACATAAAAAATAGCAGATTTCTAAATTATATTTATTTTTAGGATTGTTTTTTAAATTATATATTTATTAATTAAGTTACTTACAAATAAATATTTTAGTATAGTAAACGCCACGAATGTTTGGGAGTGATTCATCGCTTGATGAAGTTAGAATCGACACGCACGCAATAATTTTTACATTAAAAACGTAAATTTTTACCGCAGACGTAGGTTTTTAAAGGCCCGGTCTAATCATCTGCCTGCGCTCCTATTTATTCTAAAATGTTAGCGTGATTGACAAAGACAATACTATATCGTGTTTCTGTGATTGATTCGTTTTTGTGCGTCAGTCCATTGGTGTGCTTGCAATGCGACCAATGGAGCATTCCATTTTATATTTATAACCAAATATATGTTTTGACAAGACTTTGACAGTTAAAACAACAAATTACAACAGATTATATATTGATTATTATATGACTTGAAACACAACGGCACTGGAATTAAGTTTTATGTGTGACCTTGAACAGATTAGTTCACATGGTAGCGACCGATGAATCACTCCCAAACATTCGTGGCGTTTACTATAACTACTAATTTTAAGGATATGTACCTACTAATAAACTACAATGGATAAAACACATTTAAGTTGTATAGTTTGTAAAAAATACACTAGTGATAAAGTGATTATTTCTGAAGGCAGACGAGAAAAATACAAACAATTTTTAAAATTGTTCCAACATCAGGCCTAAAATTCAAAGAAGTGCTTTTACCAGAAAATGTATCCACGATAAAAGGGTACCATACACAGTGCTACAGGAATTTTTCAGTTGTTATGAAGAAACAGACATTGAAATCCTCAAATACACTTCCTAAACCATCAACATCTTCATTCATTTTCAAAAATAATATAGAAAACGCTTATTTTATAAGAGTTTATTTTATAAGTTTTTAGTAAAACTGGAAGTGTGGAAAACAATGATCTGTATTTTAGGCGACCCTTTTTTTTCTTATCTGACTTCTGTGTTTTGTCAGACTTTTATTATACATTATTGCCACAATTGACACATTTTTTAAGACTGTAACAAAAAAAAATTCAAATAAAAGTTGTTTCAATTTTAGTTTCTATTGATTTAAATTTGATTTTTTTTTGTGAATCAATAATTTGGCTATAATTTCTAAAGTTACAATTAAAATTATCAGAGAATTGATTCTGAATGTTAATATTATAATTATGACGAAATATTGTTTTTTTTTAAACTCGACTTTGTGCAACAGATGATGATAGCATATAAAAAGTGTAAAAGTAAAAAATAAACAGTGTAAAATACTCTGTTACGTCAGCCGCGTCTGCTGCCGACGAGTCTCAATAAACTATCTTTCTCGCGCTTATAGATTTAAGACTTTTTTGTCGCGCTGATTTAAAATCTCTATTCGCGTCAAGCAAGTATTAAAAACCGTTGAATTTGTCTGGCAATTAAGAAATATTTTTTAATATATATTATCTAATAAGCACGCTGTAAAAATTTTAGAATGCCTAAAGTATATTTTCGAGGTATAATAATTAAACATATTTGGGATGGTCGGGTTACACTTTAAATCCGAAAAAAAAGTCTGTCATACTTATTTCTGGATTAAATAGATGCTAAAATTTAAGAATAAATAAATTTCAAGTTGCCTAAAGGATAGTTTTTGGATTTATTTTTTTGCAAATATAAGGGGTTGGGGTTGCGCAGTAGCAAAATACCCGCAAACCCCTAGCCCGACTTAGGATTATGGGTTCACCAGTTAATAAACTTTAATTTTTTTTTGTTTTTTTAACTTACCTAAAATATGTTCTCTAAATATGTCGCCAGCTCTCCGGCTACTAGTACTACTGATGCTAAAACAAATTATAATAACGATCGAAAAATTTTAGAAATTTATGTCAACGTCATTTTTTTATTTTCTCGAAAATCTACATGTTTTGTCTTTGTTATTTGTAATAAGTAACGGATTTACAGGGCGTTTCAAAAACATGTGCCCTCTCTCGTGGGGAGATTCCTCGCGTAAAATGGTAACCCATATGCACGTCCCTGTTGAAGCTGTCGACAATGTTTTATAATTAAAATATGCAGCACTTATAGTAATTTTTACTCAAAATTTCATTCAAATCACTAAAAGCACTTGGAAGAAAATAATACGAAATCGAAAAAAATGAAGACTTTAACCCTTGTAGCTACAAAACAAAGCATAATCGGGCTTATGTTGATATAAAAATAAATCTTATTTTTACATGGGGAATCTCCCCACACGAGATGGCACATGTTTTTGAAACAGCCTGTATAACGTAAACAATTTCTGGTATGAATACATTTATTGTTTCAGTGTATAACATCTCTAGCTATGCTGTTCATAAGCGACGTAATGCAACTGATCAACTACTACAGCCAAATTTTATGGTTTTCCGTTGCCGCCAGTATAGCGGGAATGATGATTTTGCGTTACAAGCAGCCCGACTCTCCTAGACCAATACGAGTCAACACCGCCATTCCAGTTATATTTTTGTTAGCTTGTGCATTTTTAATCATATTCCCTATTCCGGAAAACCCATGGAATACCATTATTGGTACAGTCATTACCTTATCAGGTAAGTACATAATATAAGCACAGACTTACTTATATTGCATATATAGCTCTTTCAACAGTAATCAGTCACCTAATTATTTTTTGCCTTATATTTTTAGTGGAGTGCCCAGAGACTTTTACCTCGGAATTCAATTACTGTCAATGTATTAATGTGAAACCTTCTGTATTGTGTTTTATAGATAAAATACTAAAATGTTTACCCATTTTTTTTTCGTTGCTTTTAATTTTTTATTTTAGTAATTTTAGTAAATTCTTAATATTTTGATTTTTTTAATTCTTTTTCTAAGTAAATTTATTGAAATAAATAAATCTAATGTATATTATGCACCTATTCTGCTTATATTCTAATCATTGAAATTTTGATTGAAATTGAGTTATACAGGGTAGCGCGTCATATGCGACGCGGTTTTTGCAAGTTTGCAAATTTTCTGAGCTTATGTAGAATTTTTTTTTTAGAATTTAGAATGAGTGGGAGGGGGGTTAATCACTTCGACCTTACAGATCCATTGTGTCCCCCTTTCTTGAATCATAACTCATCATACAGTCCCAGGGCTTTGACAAAAGCCAGTATCTGGGACGGTTTTATAGAGGGTAGTTCTCCATCTCCAATATCAGTCGTACCAAAATTCATGGCACGAGTGGTTGTCGTCTCGGCGCACTCAGTGATGAGGTTGAGCTTATGTTTTGTGAGCTTATGTAAGTCAATTTAAAGTATTCTCTAAAATTATGTTCTACAGAGTGTCCCCAAAAAAAGTTACACATCAAAGTTATGTTTTTTGTAATGGAACACCCTATATATTATTTGATTTTTGGATTCTAGTAAAAAAATAAAGGTTTGTTTCATTAGAAAATTATATGACTAAAATGTATAGTTTTTGAAATACATTCACCGGCACGAAAAATGGGCACCTTAAAACTTTGATGTATTTTAAAAGATAATTATTTTATTTTAATGGACCGATTTTGATGATTTTTTAAGCAGTGTGTTGCCAAATTATTTGACTTCTTACTATCTTTTTCTAAATTAAAAATGAAACTCCCCATCTGTTAATTATACGAGGAAAAACAAAATGTTGATATTTTTTATGAAAGTTTGAAACGCCCTGTGAAATATGTTAAAACAGCAAGAAATTTAAAAATTATTTTATCATCTATCTAGATACATCCTTTCTCGATGGTTTGTTTTTGGTTTATCTCATTAGCTTTATTTTTGTTGGAAATATTCGGTTTTAAAGAAAGCACTAACATTTTTCGTAATTTTTACATTAAGACCATGCCTTTGCTTTTGGGCCTAGTCAACACATCTAAATAGTAAGTTCTGGTCCCGAAGCAGGCCTTCTTGACATAAAATTTGCTTCGTTTAATCTTCTTCTTGTAGTCCATTAGTTAATATGTACGGTTCCTAAGTGCAATTCATTATCAATTTGAAAAGCTGGCAAACGGCGCGGCGGTTTCTTAGCGATAAACTTTCAATAAGTCGATCGTCTCGATTAGAAGTTCTCATACGAAGGTTTCTGGACGTCTATATTGACGTCCTCATGGACGTGGTCATAATTCAAAGACCATTTAATATACTCTATGGTAGTAAGGTATTTTTGGAACCAGAATTTTATAGCAAATTCACTAAACTCGAATAAATAAATGATATATATATTTGACTCATCCTGTATATCTATATAAATATATATATTGAAATGTGAACTACCATTAAACATATATATATATATATATATATATATATATATGACTCATCCTGTATAGCTATAAAAATATTTTTGAAATGTGAACTACCATTAAACATATATTTTGTAAAAGGTTTGGAGTGAAAATCTCAAATAGGAATCCTGATACAGAGCTTTTCTGGAAAACGGAGCCATCTTGTATGTAGGCAATTGTATATGTGTGTGTTTATTTAAATACTAAAGTGAAAGCAACGAATTTAAATAGGTAAACTTTGTCACATATCTTATATACAATGCTTGCAATTATATAACAATACAATGCAAAAAGTTTTATAAAAATTCGTTCACAGTAAATGAATTCCGAGGTTTGTATCTCATAAGGGCTTAAAGCACTCCAGTTTACTATAACTTTTACTTTTTTTACTTATACTTTACTATCACCCTTATATATTTTTAAATTTTTTCAGATAAGAAAACGAGATTTGGTATTTTAGTATATCACACAAATTAAGATTGATTGACGTACTCAATTGTTTTTGGTTACTTCCTGTTTCACCGGAAATTACTACAACTTTCGATTTTTAAATGGTACCTTCGGTATATTTCTACTTTATTCGATCGAAAATGACACTCTGAATAGAATCACATGTTGTATGTCAACTTTTGATATTTTCGCTTAAAATCAAATCTTATTTTAAAAATGGCTGTGTCAAAAACACTAATTTTTAATCAAGGAGCCTTGGAAAAATAATTTTCATCGTCTAATGTTTTTTGCGTCTTATTCTGGCCGGTTAAAAGATGCCCAAGTAGTATTTTTAATCATATCTCAAGTTTTTCATATGGAACAATGATGGCTTATTAGCATATTAGAAAATGCATTCTTTAGCGAATAATTTGATCCCACATACTTGGTATTTCGAGTCAAATTGTCGTTACGAACCTCATGTTACAATTTCAAATAAACCATATGCTCATATGTCAAAGGTTGACATAGGATATGCCATTCTATTCAAAGTGTAAGTTTCTATCGAATAAAGTAGAAATATATCTAGGGTGCCATTTAAAAATCAAAAGTTGTAGTTATTTCCGGTGAAACAGGAAGTACCAAAAACAACTGAACACGTCATCAATCCCAATTTAAGTCATATACTAACATACGACATCGTTTTTTCATCTGAAAAAATTAAAAAGTTATAGGGGTGAGCACTTTTGAGAGGCACCCCGTATAAAACTGTTTTTCGTATCTTCGTCAATAAAAACTAAAAATGCACACTCAGATTTGTCCTTGCCTTCTTTTAGTTTCTGACACTTTCTGACTTTCTGAAATACAGGGCGAATTTTAAAATGGTGCATTTTCCGATCCCCTTCTAATCTTGGTTATTTTATAAATTATAGAGAATTGGCGTAACTATAATAGTTTTTCTCTGGGAGCTGTCATTTTCGAAATATGACTCGAACATATGTTTTCTTAAAGGGAACACCCTGTATACTATTTTGTTTGTCTTGTTATGAGCTTTTTAAAAATATAATGTACCCTATACTTATTTTTCTAGATATTGTAAAAAATGCACTATTTAACATAAATCAGCTTAGTTTAAAAGAGCGTTATTATTTTATTTAATTTAACCAGATAATTTTGCCTTTCTATTGTATATAATAATAGCTCCCGTATATAGCGTTTAATTACCTCAGGATTGTGAATCCCAAGTACTCATTTAAGGCTGAGTCGACCTAGGTACCCAAACTATTTTTATTTTAATAAAAATAGTCGGCCGATGAAATGCCGGGTGTAGGATTCGAACCCACTACCTTGAGATTGGTAGACGAGAGACTTGTGTCTAGTCCCAGCAAGGCAACTATTAAACTTGACCAATCTCGTTAGAGTTTTTGACAAAAGCGGATGCAGAACAGCTGTGGCGTACTATATAATTTATTACAAACAAATAAAACAAAATCAATGAATATCTAAAAAACAAATATAAATTAGTAAAAATCAACCAACCCCACCAAATAACCAACGAATTAACACTCTCCAAATAACCACGCTAACTAAAGCTTAATAGTTGCCTTGCTGGGGCTAGACACAATTGACGAGAGCCTGTACCTCTCCGCCACCCCGGGCACTTCCATTGTGTTATCTTAATAAACTGCACTACGAACTGAACTTGTGCAGCTTTTGGATAACAAACTGTCAATCAGACTTATTGATATTTTTTATGTACGTGTGCAACAATTTTACACGAGTTATAATTCGTTATAACTCAAGAAAGGGAGTCAGAGAGAAAAAACACACAATAGATCTGTAAGGTCGCGGTGATTAACTCCCCTCCTAAACATTCTACATTCTACAACAATTTTACACACAGCATGGAATAACCAATGACCGCAATTAGATGTGGAATAAATTATTCGATTGTTTTGATTACCTAATTACCTAATTTAAACTTTTTGTTTATGAAAATAATATAGATTATATTTTGGAAATAAAAAACAATATACAGGGTATCCTATTTAAAAAGTTTGGGTCATATTTAAAGAATAGCAGTTAAGAGCAGAAATAGCGAAAATATAGTTACGCCACCGAATTCTACGTGAAAAACTATGGGACTCAGTTTTAACTTTTTCGTTAAGTTTCCACACTCCATAGTTAAGTTATAAGATAATCGAGATACGAAGGGAATGGAAAAACAATTTCAAATTCCCCTTTGTTTCAGGAACTAAGGGGGCTAGGACAAATCTGTGTGTAGCATGTTTAGTTTCATAAATAATTACGACAGTAACGTACACGCCGCATCTTTCGACCTGTACTCGAGAAACCTGGTAAAATACACGAAAATGGGACACCCTCTATATTAATTATGGGAAATTAAAATTACATGTTTTGTAAACAAAAAAAAAATATTTAATATATTTATCGTATTTCAGGTGTACCTGTGTATTACCTGTGCATTAAATGGAAACGAAAACCTGCCAGATTCACCTATGCAACTGAAAAGATTACTCATTTTTTCCAACAAGTATTAGAACTGACGTCTCAAGAAGCTACACAGAGGTTGTCTGAGAAATGAATCGCGCAACAACTAAACTAAGTTATTTATTTATACTTTTTTTTAACCTGTATGAAATTATATATACATTGTACACTAAGATAACGCCAAAAGACTTAAAGCAGTTTTATAAATTTCATGTTTTTTTTTTTGGAAAATAGTGCGATCTCAAATATTTACATTCAATTTTTCTATCTGTATTATATACATATACCTATATAAAAAAGAAACATGACCAAATGTAGAATCAAAATATATAAAAAATATATATACAAAGCATTATTTATTTTTTATTAAAACAGCTAATAAAAATCTACAACATTTTCTTTTTTATTCCTATTTTTAACATATATTATTTCATAGACGTTATTAAAGGTTGTGCAGTCCTGTGCAGTCAGTCAGGGGAAATTTCGACAGATGACATCGAAAAAAGACAGTAAACAAGTACAATTTACGTGAATTAAAATGACAGACACCACAACCGCCCTCTTTAAGGTTGATTCAGTTGTGGATTCAGAATAAAATTCATTATTGAAGAGGAAACAAAATAATTTTGGGTTGTTTTTTATTAATCAAATATATTTTTAAATGCCTAATATTATTATACAGGGTGTCCCAGAAATAAGTGCAAGTATTTTAAGGGGTGGTAGATCTTTATAAAAGAAACATAATTTCTCTTTATCGTTTTTCAAATAAGTCCAAAATAACGGAGTTATTTTAAAAATTCCAAAAATTATTTTTTGCTAAAATTATGAGGACCACTAGTACTCTTCTGGACTTTCTTTCTTGTAAATGTTGCCATATTATGTAGAAATAATGTTTTTAACAAAAATCTAAAAAAAATCCCAAAAAAAATTCAAAAAATTTCGAATTTTTTTTTCGCAAAGAAAACCTCATAGCACAGAATATCTAGCTACGCGTAGCTAGATATTCTGTGCTCATAGGCGTGTTGCTGAGGTTGAACTATACTACCAGTTAAAATACTTGCACTTATTTCTGGAACACCCCGTATTTTGTAAAATATGATTAATTTCAAATATTTTGATTAATTTTAAATAAAATATTTTGGCGCATAGATGTTTTATGCAGGGTCCAGACCAAGCACACAAGACAGAAACATTCATGTTTTACGACAAAACTGCGACAAATCCAATAAATTTCTGCGACATTTTTGTCTCATTTTTGGTTTGTTTCAAAATTCGGAGACTTTTCAGTGTCTCGTATCGAGTCGGTAAAGATCAAAGTGTCGATGTTTTGTTCGTATATTTTACGACAAGTTGTCGGCGCAGTGTGAATGGCGTGTGCTGGCAACAGTAGGAGACCAGTGAAATTACACATGGTTAATGAAACTAATTCGCAACAACTAAACTTTTGACTTTGTTGTACTTTTGTCCTTGCGCTGGACCCGGCATTAGAAGTGTCTCAGCAGAATGACAAAAATGTATACAAGTATATATAAAAAAACTTGAGAAACAGAATCAAAATGCGGAAGAGTTTATAGAATCAATGAATGATATGGCATTCCCATAATAAAGAAAATAAATAATGAATGAGAGTTAATGAATTGAAATAAATGTGGCATGAAAATGAATAAAAATATACAATTCTATACAGGCATTAGAACAGAAAATAGAAAAATAATATCAGCTTTTAATGATGATGAAGTAATTGAAATATTTTAAAGCGAAAAAAACATAGAAAATATGCAAAATAATGGATACTTACATTTTCAGAAGGTTAAGCAAGCCTTAAGAAACTCAATACAGTAAAATAGTGTACAGAAAAATCACATTTTGTATCTAAAAATCAGAAAATTTGTAAGAGCCACATATAAGAACACCTTATTAACAACGGAAAATGTCGCTCTGTCAACGTTGTCAGAATGTAAACAGCAGTAAAATAAATTAACCATTTTTTATATAAATATAAAACACCGTGTCTTCAGAAATATTATTTATTCTACTAAAATTATGTTTATATTATGTGTTTATTGGATTTATCATTATTTTGTAACGATTCAATTCGTTTTATACTTATAAAAATATTGATTTAGATTAGTTTCAGTAATTCTGTAATATCTTGGCAACACAGGCGTAAAAATTAAATGACATTCGGAACTGACCAATCACAATCCATTACTAAAAATAAAAAATAATTCTTGTGAAACTTTAAAAAAATGTAATGTTTCCTTTATATATTTTATTAGGAAAAGAGATATAAAGCTTTATAAACATTTCTATAAGCTTGTATTTTCGATTAAATTAAATTAACATACAATGTAACATCAACGCATGTGTCGCACCTATGAGTAAATGCAGCAAATAGATGCCTCAAGGTCAGCCACTTAAAATATGTCCATAAATATGACTTAAAACCATAGATATAGAAGTCAAAGAGTAAATCTTATCATCATCTAATCACCTCTTTCGCCATCGTGCTCTAACCGGCACCAGCTAGTTCTTTTACTTTTAAATATCAAAAATTAAAACCATAATGTGATTAAGCTCTACTACAGTTCTATAAGGGTTCTAGAAAACTGTTTAAAAGCTTCTAATCTAATCATATTCTTGTATGAATATATAAAGGTCATATATAATCAATATAATATATGATCGATATGATTACAAAAAAAATGTTGGCTGCTTTGTTTTTTTGACATTTTCAAACTTTTATTCTGTGCTTCTCTGATTTTTGACTTTTGTCATGTCACTTGTCAAAGTCTTTCTTTATTAAATAGATTTGCAATGGGTGAGTATGGCTAGATATGTGATTAAAAATAAGTAATCATCCAGTTAAAACTTTTTCACTTTTTTAAAATAAATGTATTGCCGGGTTAGTTAAATATATATGCAAAAAAATTCATTTATATTTTTTGCTTAAGATTCATACTTTTCCTTAAAAATTTACAAAAATATAACCTAGAATGTTACTTATGGTAAATTTTGAGTTTTCTAATGATGATATTTTGTTTTAATGTCCGATGTGTTGTGCTGACGACTCCTAACATCCCACAGCGATCTGAATTAATTGTTTTTATTTACATTTGCTTTACGTTATTACGAGTTTTGTTATTAAAGTTTTATATACTTTTTAGGTATCAGTCGAGACCATTGGCATAAAAGGAGGGCCACCGGAGGCAAAAGGAAGCCTCTCCGTAAGAAGAGGAAGTTCGAATTAGGTCGCCCAGCGGCTAATACGAAACTAGGAGCTAGCAGAAGAGTTCACTATGTAAGAACTCGAGGGGGCAACCTTAAATACAGAGCCTTAAGGCTGACCCATGGCAACTGGGCTTGGGGTAGTGAAAGTATCACCCGAGAAAGCCGTATTATCGATGTCGTTTATAATGCAAGTAACAATGAATTAGTACGTACAAAAACATTGGTCAAGAATGCCATTGTAGTTGTTGATGCCACACCATTCAGACAGTGGTATGAAGGTCATTACATTCTACCGCTAGGACGTAAGAAGGGTGCTAAATTGGTAAGTTTTTTATATAATATAATGTCTATAAAACAAGAATTATGTTAAAATGTGTGTCATGTACAAATGATTTGATTAGGCAGGCTATGTTTTGACTTATATATTATGTGTATATAGAAAAATAAAATATAAATTTGTATTATCTGTCAAGTGTTGTAAATTGCTTAAGAATTTATTTTTGGAGAATGTTCCCTGAGAATTAATGAGTGAATGTTGAGAATTTAATATTAGCCCAAAGAAATTTGGAAAATCAATCCATTACATTTTTAAAATTTATTCTTCAAAGCAGGGCCATCATAAAACAAGTAGAAAATTTTGAGAACAAAAAGAAGAAAAAATTGTAAAGAAATAGGGGTAATGGTGTGGATCCGGTGGCTGACCTTGAAACGAGTTTTTGCTGCATATAGTCACAGACACTACGCATGCGCACATCTTCGATGTTGCCAGATTGTGAGTTATTTTGGAATTATTTTCAATAGAAAACAAATATGTGCTTTTCAGTGTTTTTTTGTCAATATATACCGTATGATCGAAAAAACGGCGTCCAGTTGTCTGGGAAATGACGATTGAGAACATTTCCATAAAATGACAGCGATCTTCATTTCATAGTCATTGCTGACGCTATTTTTTTTTTCAATCATAGTACGCGGTATATTATTTTAATATTTCGCACAACACGTGAACGCTTATTATGTATTTTCAGTCAATAAAATTATATAGAAATAAAACTCTAGATTACTATCTAGATTATTGCTACGTTTAAAAAGTGCTTCATTAAAAATTCGGGAAATTAAAAGGGATGTGTCCAAATTTTTTCTTTTTTTTTTAATTTTTAAATGCTGTAGCTCCATGTCATGTTCATAATAGATTTTTTTTTAACATTCCATCAAAACTACGGAGGCCTTGAAAGGCCTTTTAGCCTCCGTAATTAAAATTGTAGAATCAGCTTCAACAACATTAACAGTTACCTTGTTTAATTCTGCTTATACATATATTGCATTAATTTTTCTGCTACATTAAGATTTCTCTATTCTTACACCTAATTTATGTGATTTTCTTAGCATATATGATTTATAAACCATATTTTTCCTAATGGAAGGATGAATAGGATATGCAAAATTAAGATATTTTAACATTTATTTTCCAGACCAAGCATAATATAGTATTAAGATGAAGACATAACAAATATTATAAGAAAGATCTTAATATAAATCACAAACTAAGTCTTAATTTAGTCTTGTATTTCTATTATTATTATTATTCTTATAAAACTAATAAGATCAAAACTCAACCTTCACCATATTGTCAAGATTTGGCATTATAGGAAACAAGAAATTACAGTAAATTAAGAAAAGAATAACAAAGTACACGATATTAAATACTGTAATGTATTTTACGATACAAACCATCTCCCTTCTAAAGAGAAAAAGATAAAACATAAAGCTTATTTTAGTCTTATCAACACACTCTTCGATAAAATCCACTAACTTGATATCTATGCTTGATATTTTTAAGAAATTATGATACAAACATTAATTATAATCAAAGTATATTATATTAGTAACATTATATAATAGGTAAAATGTTACCTCTATCTCCGATTGACGTTTATTGTTCTATAATAAGACCCGTCATGGTAGTACTTCAAAACATCAATACATGCATATAATCAAAAATATTGTTGCCTGTAAATAACTAGAAATTAAATAACTTGAAAGAAATAAAATAATTCTAATAAGTTTAAAACCATTAAGAAAAAATCCGTAAATGATAAATTTTAATTCTAATGTAAACATATAAATAAATGTTATTATTAATACAATTTTATATATTATAATACTTTCATTTCACAATCTTCATTATCCTTCTTACCTTAATTTTGGATATCAAGATAAATCTGAAATTATAGAATTTGTATTATTATTGATTAACACGCAAAAAAATTTTTCAACTGCAAATAATTCGAAAATAAACTGCAATTTGGCAACATCGACGATGTGCGCTTGCGTAGTATCGATGATCAAAAGCAGCAAATATGGGCTTCAAGGTCAGCCACCGGATCCACACCTTTACCGAAATAGGTATTCAGGACATGTTATTCTTCGTTCTCGCCATATTTATATTGCAGTGTGTATTATAAATACTATAAGGAAATATGGTGTATTAACTATATTATAAATACTATTTTTGTAAAATGGCTTATGCTATTTAGAATCAAAAATAACAAATATAGGGAACATTCTTGTTTGTACCCATACATGGCTCTTATTAGAGAATGTTCCTGCACAATCATTTTGAATACTCTCAAATGTTCACAAATATTCCCTCTCTACAAATGGGAAAGTTCTCTGTATTACAAACCTATTAATGTTTATAAAATAAGAATGATGTTAAAATGCGTGTCATCTGAAAATGATTTGATTAGACAGGCTATATTCTGACTTATATTGGAGAAGTCTTTAGAAGAAGCAAGAAATTTTGTAGATATGTTTAGTCTCTTAGTGTAACACACCCACCATTTCAATTCTATAGAAGGTTTTTATTCCAATTGTCTTTCATTTCTTCTGTCAAAATTTTATATTTTTTCTCTCTGGACTGATTATACCACTTAGGTATTTTCGGAACGTAAATAGTAAATTTTATTCTCTGTCATTTTTCATTTTAACCACTTCCAATTGAGGACAGCATAAAGTTTATGAAGAAAACTGCTTTTTCTAAAAGGTTTTTCGATAATTATCTTATGTTAAAACTGTAAATGAAATTGACTTAGGTTATTTTTGTTTGTGCAATTTCAGACTGCGGAAGAAGATGCAGCATTTAACAAAAAAAGGAGTAAGAAGATTCAGAAAAAATATGAAACCAGACAGAAAACCGCTAAGGTAGAACCAGCTATCGAAGAACAATTTCACACTGGTAGATTATTAGGTAAGATTAACTTACAGAAGTTATAGATAAATCTACTTAGGCCTTTTACTTACTTACTTTCTCATATCCGGACACTTTAAGTATAGAAGAAATCAATAAAAGTTTGCGTGCATGTCATCGCAAAACACTTTTGTATAGAGGTAAATTGTGCCCAATGAACTTAATTTTGATTCAAAAAATACGTAGTAGATCTATGCCCACGGAATATTGGGACACCCTGTATATAATCACAAGAACCAAATTCTATTTGACATTTGTCAAATTAAAAAAATAGACCAGTTAAATATTCTGGAGCACTCAAGTTTTATTGATTTTTTTATAGAATTTAGTCCTGTACTATGATATGTCATAAAAATTTAAAGACAAGGCATAAGATGACGATTATTTGATTTTTTTGATTATGTACTTGGTTGTTTGTATGCTTTTTATCTTCTAAAAATATCTGGAATTTAGTCCTGTACTATGATATGTCATAAAAATTTAAAGACAAGGCATAAGATAACGATTTGATTTTTTTGATTATGTACTTGGTTGTTTGAATGTTTTTTATCTTCTAAAAATATCCTGTGATGAAAAAACTAAAGCGAGATCAAATTCCAAGTGAAATTGCTTGTTTTAAGTATTCACTTTGTTCAATGACGTGCTTGTCATAGTTACTCTGATTACTAAACATATTACCTAATTGTTATTATTATTCTGTTATTTTTTCTAAAATGTAATATTTTTTTTAGCTTGTATTTCATCGAGACCAGGACAGTGTGGAAGGGCTAGTGGGTATATTTTAGAAGGAAAAGAACTCGAGTTCTACTTGAGAAAGATTAAGTCTAAGAAAGCAAAATAAAAATATAGTGTACAAATAAACTTGTACTTTTAAGATATTTTTAATAATTTACCTGGTTCCTTTTTCCATTAAAATCCATTTCCAACTTTTTCCATTTTGTTTAATAATGACGTGCAAGTTATTTTTTCATAGTGCATAAATATACAATTAGTTGAATTGGTTTATGTGATTTATTAGCAATGAATTTTTGAGTTCAAAAAATTATAAAACAAATTAAATATAATATATTTTTCATCCAGTAATATTTACTGCAATGAATAAAAATTATCCAAATAAAAAATTTTCTGTTATTGAAGGTTTTTACTGTATATTTCAGTGGGTAAATATTAATTTAAGATTAAATAGTATAATCTGTCTGTCGGAAGGTTCCCTGACAGTGACATTTGAGTCATTTCAATTTACAGTTCATAGGCACATTGTATTTTCTGTCATCTGAGTTGTTTTGGGAGACTATACTCTGTTTTTTACATTACAAAAGTATTCACTTTATCACCCTTAAATAATAAATATTCAATAATAATTGATATAATACAGAGTGACGTAGTGTGTTGGGACCGTTTATAGAGTATATTGAAAGCATTTTCAGAGTTATAAAATAGCAAATACTGCATCTTTTAAGTCAATCAATATTTGAATCACATTGTATACAGGGTACTAAAAATTCGAAGTACAAGTTTTGGTATCTCGATAAACATAATAGATACAAATATGTTTAGTTTAGTTTAGTTTTATTTATTAGTAATAACATACAAGAAAAGTATTTTTACAAGTCAAAAAAATATATATATATAAAATGATAAAAATTTAGTTTCTACAGTCTTTTTTTTATTGTTTCTACATTGCATCATTAACACACAAATTTGATAAAATAAAATTTATACAATTAAACAATAGAAAATCATTAAAACCTTAAAATTAAAACAAATATGTATGTCAAATATATGTTATAAATGAACAGATACAACACACAAACACTAACATAGACAAAACAAATGAAATCACAGACTAAAGCTGGAACTGAAGTACTCCTCAAAAGAAAAAAATGCATTAATCATAAGGTAGTTTCTGATTTCTGTTTTGTACTGATTAAAATTAAGAGCCTTAATTCTAGCTGGTACCAGGTTATAAAACTTTATGCTCAAATATCTTGAACATATGGTTAAATTAGGGCAAATATGGTTAAATTAGGGCAAAGCTGCGCTTTGGGATGTTCACGAAGATGCCATCAAAAAAGTTTTAAAAATTTCAAGGCTTGCTGAGTTTTTTGGAAAAAACGCCGCGTTTTGACGCCATTTTTTTTTCAATCCTACGGTATATAATAAACATGATTAAATGCAGAACCAAAAACATAATAATCGATATTTACATATAAGGCATTATTTTTTATTAAAACAGCTAATAAAAATTTACAACTTTTTCTTTTTTCTATTCCTATTCTTAACATTTGTTACTTCATAGAAGTTACTACCTATCTTCTTTCTTTTCTGAGCCCTCTCTTGTGCTCTTTTTTGTTTGCTTGTTAACGATTTTGTAGTATTGTTTACTGGTTGTTTTTTAGTTGTTTTACTACCTTTATTAACTTTTTCCACTTTAAAATCTCCACTTGCTGATACTACATATTCCTTTTCTTCTTCGTACGTTGTATCCATATCTGAGTAAAAACTACTAAAATCTGAGGAATCATCTGAATCATCATCTTTTTCTGTATCTCCGATAGGATATTCAACTTGAGAATTATCTTCATCAATATTCTTATACTCTTCTACAGCCTTATCAACATTTTTAATGGGTTCTAACTCTTTAACATCATTACCTTCATAATCCAAACCGACTTTTATTTTCCTAAAATCTTGTACTATACTGACATTAGTTTCAGTGTTACTCTCTTCTGAAGCATTCAGACCAACTTCAAAGCCAGGTGGACATACAAAGAAAGGTAGTTTTCCCCTTTGCCAATCATTCAAAACCATTTTGGCAACGCTGGAGATATCAGGCTCACCTCCTTTAAGAAGTCTTCCCGAACGCTGTGCCATTTTTTCCAGAAAGTCATTAGGATCGGTCCATTCATTTACCTTATATGTTTTTACTATATATTCCTTTCGAACTCTTTCTAACACTGCTGGAATATAATCTTCAGGGTTGTTTACTAGTTCTACTCGAACAACACCTTTTAAAACTTTCTCTGTGTCTGTTTCTGCTGACGGATAAACTACACCTGGACAATCGATTAAATAAATTCTTCTCATTAATGTAATGTATTGCCATATTTTTGTTTCTCCAGCAATTGGTGCTACTTTACATACTTTCTTACTTCTAAGTGTATTAATAATGGAAGATTTTCCAACATTTGGGTATCCAATAAATCCAACAGATATCTGTTTTTTGTCAACATGAAGTTTAGCTAAAATATAAAGAGTTTGTAAATCAATGTAACTTTACAAGCATAGCAAAAAATCTTACCAAACTGTCTTAGTAAATTAATTAATGATCCTTTCCCAAAGGGATGAGTTAAACTGGCATGAAATGCAACTGTTGGATATTCTTTGCTTAAAAGAGCAACCCATCGCTGAGTCACCCAAGTAGGCACAAGATCAACTTTATTTAAAATAAAAATAAGATGCTTGTACGGCTTTTCTGTTTTAAGATAGTTTTCTAAATAAGCAGATCTTGTTCCCATTGGGTCTCTTGCATCTAGTGTTTGTAATAAGACGTCAGAACTATCTACTACTTTATATAATTCATTCCAAATTCTTTTGGATTGACCAGCACCCATTACCCAATCTCTAGGCAAATCTTTAATTCCCTCATTATCTCTAACTATATTGGAATCTTTTTCGTTGCTATATGTTTTTTCTTTTTCTTGAGCTAGCTCGGATAACTCTTCTAGTCCTCTAACACTTAAGTTTGGCCTTTTTCGACTTTTCTTTGGTCCAAAAACGCTGTCAAAACTCTCAGTATCAAGTAAATGAACCCTTGCATATTTTGCCTTTTCATTTAACAGTGTAACTGGCAAAGTGGTAGGTTTCAATACTATTTGATATGGATTTTTTACAGCTGCTCCTAATTCCGTTTGAAATTTCTGTAAAGCATTCTGAGATATTACACGACTATTTCCAAACCATTTTTGATTAGGCTCGACCCGAGCCTGAGTTCCTTGAGGAAGTTTTCCTTGAAACGGTGCTGGAGTAAGGATGTTACCTTTTTTGTCCCTTTTCGCTTTGAAATTTCTGTACATTTGCAACCGCTTTATAGTCCCTTTTGTTCGAGGTTTTGCTACTCCCTTCAAACCATCTTTAGACCTTTCTGGATTCATTGAATGTCCAGATTTATTAAAGCCCTGTTTTCGAGGGGCGCCCCCCGTACTGCTGACTTTCGGCATCTAAAAGAATATTCTATAAATATACAGCATTATGTCCAAATAAATTTACCTTTGAAATCAAACAAATTTCTTTTATAAGAATTAAATAAATAAAAATTCTTCACGTGTAATCACAGAATTTAAAATTTTTGACAAACAAAAGTTAGGTTATTGATTAATTCTTCTGAGTCCATGGCCACAAGTATAGCCACAACTACTCAAGGGGAGTCTAAATTCTACGTTTCCATATTTCTAAAAGAAGAAAACGAATTTCCTGCCAATCTTAAGGTGGGTTCATACAGCCAAATAAAATAAAATAAGAATAAAATAAAATAAGAAATAAGGAATTCTTATTTGTGTGCGTTCATACAGTCAAATAAAATAAAATAAGAAATATATATTTGCTCATGCGCAGTACGATGAGGCTGGATAAAAGTTAACTTTTACGATTGTTTATAGTAATTTTACTATTTATAGTATATTTATTTATTCGTTGCCTACTATATTATACATTTTACTTATGTGAAATTATAAAATAAATTAAATCCAAACTGAAAATATTTGTAGGTTAGAATGAAGCGTGCGCAAAGCCGTTTTCACATAAAATAAAACAAGAAGTTAAAAGATAAAGACTTCTTATTTTATTTGTTATTTTATTTGGCTGTATGAACGCATGTACGGTATCCCATATAACCAACTTTCTTATTTTATTTTATTCTTATTTTATTTTATTTGGCTGTATGAACCCACCATAAGAATAAAATAAAATAAGAAATAAGGAATTCTTATTTGTGTGCGTTCATACAGGCAAATAAAATAAAATAAGAAATATATATTTGCTCATGCGCAGTACGATGAGGCTGGATAAAAGTTAACTTTTACGATTGTTTATAGTAATTTTACTATTTATAGTATATTTATTTATTCGTTGCCTACTATATTATACATTTTACTTATGTGAAATTAAAAAATAAATTAAATCCAAACTGAAAATATTTGTAGGTTAGAATCTTAGATTAAGAATTAAAAGTTAGAATTAAGCGTGCGCAAAGCCGTTTTCACATAAAATAAAACAAGAAGATATTAAAAGATAAAGACTTTTTATTTTATTTGTTATTTTATTTGGCTGTATGAACGCATGTATGGTATCCCATATAACCAACTTTCTTATTTTATTTTATTTTATTCTTATTTTATTTTATTTGGCTGTATGAACCCACCATTATATTTGGCGCCAAATTAAATAATCGCAGTACCGCAAGCAAGAAGAATTTACCTTAAAAAGGTAAAATGATGGAAATATGGTTGATTTATACTTCGAATACTAGAATCGTTATCACATCCTTAATATTAAATATATGAGAACTTTTCAGAACACTGTTTTTTTATTTATTTACTGTTATCACCGCGCGTTTTAAGTAATAAACCAATTTAAAGAAAGCTGTTTTAGTCTTAGGTTTTGGTAGTAACTTTGTGGTAATATGTAATATTATAGGTATAATAGTTAAGCATTATAGGTAGTTAGGAATTTAAGGCAGTCTGCAGGGGGTCTAGACAAACTACAGTGAGTAGTGTTATGTCTAGCTATAGCAATTACAATATGCCCACAAAGGCTATTCCTATTGGTGAATTTCTATTCTTTATTTTGTTCTTAATATTCTCAGATTTCTCGAGAATCGGTAAAATTAAGAATAAAATTTTAAAAAGTAACTGATTTTTTACGACCTATTTTCTATGCGTTAATTATACAATCTGACCGAGAAAAAAAACGACCTCAGCGATGGCTACGAAAGTAGTAGCGCACATTTTTTTTCTCGAAAAATATTCTTATACAGGATGTCCCAGAAATAAGTGCAAGTATTTTAACTGGTAGTATAGTTCAACCCCAGAAACAGGTCTATGAGGGGTTTTTCGCTAAAATTTTTTTTTTTGAAAATTCAGAATTTTTTGAAAAATTCTTTGGATTTTTTTAGTTTTTAGTCAAAAAACCTAATTTCTTGATAATATGGCGACATAGGTAATAGATTAAATTTACAAGAAATAAAATCCAAAAAGATCCAGTGGTTCTCAAAAATTTAGCAAAAAATCTTTTTTTTTGGAAATTTTCAAAGTAAAATAACTCCGTTATTTTGGACTTATTTGAAAAACAATAAAGAGAAAATATGTTTCTTTTATCGAGATCTACCACCCCTTAAAATACTTGCACTTATTTCTGGGATACCTTGTATAGCACTTTAGTAACTTTTACACTAAAAAATTTCATTGGATAGCTAAAAGTAAATTATATTATATCGAAAAAATATTAAGACTATAACCCCCTGTAACTACGAAACAAACGTTGATGTGAAAAATAAATCTTAGTTTTACATGAGGAATCTCTCCACGAGAGATGGCACATGTTTTTTGAAATACCCTGTATAGACTGTAGAATGAGCGAGAGAAAATTTGGACAAACAATATCCAAAAAATAATAGAAATCACAATTTACCTGTGAATTAAAATGACAGACACAACTGTCACTGTCAGGGATGTACTCGTTGGACAGACTATAGTTATTTCCTTAGATTAAGAATAAAAATAGATAGAGCAAGTCATTCATAAATTCACAAAATCGAGGTGCCTACATCGTTTTATCGGTGAGTGCCCCCACTACCATAGTTTATGGACAGCGGGGTAAAGAGGAAAGTGGTAGGGGAGTTTACAGCGGAAGAGCATCAAAACAGAATTTAACCTTGAGATTCATTGATGATAGTAAAGTAAAAGCCAGAGATATAGAAGTAGGTGGTTAGAGGCAAAGATAAAATATTTTTTAATAATAAATTTTAAAAATATGTTCATGCAATAAAACTAATAAATTATTATAAATACATAATAGTATATGCTATAAAATATTTAACAAACACTATAAAAAATTTGTTTATTAAATATTCAATAATTAAAAGTTAGATATAATTAAAAGATATTATACGTATTGTATATCGTATAGTGATTGATAATTGATAAACTAAAATGTTAATGGATCTATTATATAAGATGTCTTGTTATTTAGATAGTATTAATTACAAAAGAAAAATAGATGCATGTGAATAACTATTTTTTATATTAAATATCAGTAGATATTATTTACAATAATAATATAATTAATATAATGTATAATTAAAAAGCACAAAATTCATCTTTTCCTACCTATACCATAAATATATTCGGTAATTTTAAGTGGAAATATTAGCACAAAAACTAAAAAAAAACAATGTTCTGTAGTTTTCAAATTCATATTAGTAAGAGAGTAATATTTTGACCAAACGAATTCTCAGTGTAAGGATATTTACATACCATATAATTTTACATTAATTAGGTATTAATCATAACACGATATTAATAAAAAACACAAGTGTTGTATTTTAATAATATATTTAGGGACTGAGTAAAAAATATAATATATGTATAATATTCTTACATTTACAGGTTCATATTAAATAAAATATTGTAACCTGAAAAAATATATATTTTGTTAAATGCCACTGTAAGGATCCAAGCAGAAACTAATTTCTCATTGGCTTTTTACTTGTTGACATATGTATTTGCATAACAGATAACATAGTTATAGCAAATAGTCTAAAAAAAACGGCGTCAAAGGCGGCTGAGGAATGACGATTGATAATTTAGCGAGGTCAATCTTAAACTACACCATTTAAAAATCATATTTACTTAATGTAAAAATAAATTACAACCTTAGAGCGCCTTTAAAAAATAGTACGAGCCAAGAAAATGACTTCTAGGGCTTGACCTCACTGAAATTATCATATTTTCATTCCCCAGTCGCCTTTGAAGCCGTTTTTTTCTCGATCGTATGGTTTCCTAACTTATTCAATCAATCAATCATTTATTTATTTCCATAAAACAATGTACAATTGTATAGGAATAGTCAATAAATTCTTAAAGCTAACACAAATATATAATACAAAATATAAAAAAACAAACACAACAGATCATAATAAAATTATCATATACGTAGGCCTCATATTATAATTTGCAGGTATTCCTCCACACTATAAAAGTTCATTCCGAACAAATCATTTTTTAAGTAAAAGTCTAGAATATGCGATTCTAATCACTATCATAATTTGTCTCTCAACAAAAGTAATTCTGTAGCTCTGCCTAGGGTTCACATCTCTCACTATTTTGCATAGTAGCATTACGTCAATTTTAAACATGATGTAAAGGACCAATTTCATATGCACTATGTAATTAAAGTAACGACTTCCACACCATGAATATCTTCACTTCCTAAAACAAAATATAAACATGAAGTTGGTGAATATAAATATCTACATTGAGTATACATTGTGAGCAAAATAAAATTGACGATCAATGACATTCACCACATAAATTTACATTTTATAAAATTACATAAATCTTGCTTTCAAAGCCAACCCTAACGCTGTTTTTTTTCGATGGTGAGATCTTATACAACTATAGTGTAATTTTAGTAAAATAATATTAATATAATATATATTATATATATATATATATATATATATATATATATATATATATATATATATATATATATATATATATATATATATATATATATATATATATATAATGTATTCATAATTAAATACAAATATACGATTTTAAATCGGACAATATTGTAACAAAAATATAAACATTACTTCTTATAATATACATAATATATTATATTCACAAAATTATATTATAAAACAAATAAACAAACTTTAACAAATATGGTAAATATTTTAGGTAAATAAAACGAGATGTTGTATTACCACAGAACAGTACTTACTTTTGAAATGACGATGTTTAAATTCTTTTATTCTCACACATTTTGCCAGTGTAGACCCATTTTAAATGCTAATTTTGGTCTTTTATATAAAATGAAACAATTATACATTAATAGTTTATTAATAGTTAAGAAATATGGAAAAATAAAACACGGCAAACAGCTGATCATGCTGTTTATCGACAGTATTGACACTGTTGACCGCGTCCAATTCCCCTACTATAGAAAATACTATAACAACAGAGCGGCGTTGTCAGATTTTAAAATTAATCCTAACGGCTGATGAAAAATGACGAAATTTACAAATATTTCAAGTTTATTTTTCTTGTAATCTTGACTGAATCTTAATAAGTACTAAATAAAATTATAAATGTCGAAATTTTGAAAAGTAGTAAGCTAATTATATTATTATTTTCTTAAGATTTCCCCAAAGTATACGTATACAAAATTAAAAATAAACAAAAGCGGAGAAATACTGGGCAACATACCAAACAATAACAATAGGATGTTGGCATTCGCATAAAATGTAAACAGTTCCCCTGTGGTTATTTCATAGGTAAAGGAAATAAATTTAGATTGAAATGTCTGTCAAAATTTTGGGTCGCGACAGTTGTACGCGATCGCTGCTAAAGCAGTTGCTAAGAACAACCGCAAAATAATTTTCTCTTGTCAAAGTCAGAATCTCCAAAAATTATAAAATCTTTCAAAATTTAAACTGCTCTCATTGAAAAAATTCCGAGAAGTGTTTAAAGCGTCCATTTTCCAATGTAATTATTGCTATCTTGTGAGTTTAATTTTTATTAATTTCTTGTATGCAACACACTGTATTTTATTTATAAAATTAAAAGAAAATAATAATAAATTTGAATAAATACTACTTGGCGATATAATTCCGGAAAAAGCCGAACCGCTCCGAAATTTTCAAAAGCTTTGGGTCGCGACCGTTGCAAGAATAGCGCCAAATAATTGGGCACTTTCCAATCTAAAGTTATTTCATTTATCTATGAGTTATTTCTCTGAATATTTTTTAACAGTCTTTTATTTTAAATACAGTCGAGGATAAGTAAAAAATAAATGGCTAAAAATATAAAGGAAATTTTATTTTTTCATATCTCGTCATATTGAATAGATTTCAGTTAAAACATTAACAAAGAATTTACCTAGACAAAAATATATTCGTCGAGTTAAGATGAAATTTAAATATCACATGCAATCTAGAGTAGCATAAATCTATGTACAGTTACTTAACAAATATAAACCTTAGAAAGGTAATCTTACTTTACCTTACACTGAAGGAGGATGTTAAATCCACGAACATAAAAATAACATGATATAAAAATAATATAGCTATTTATAACCTTTAATTTTGCGGATAAAACACAATAAAATGATATTTATTCACTAAGATGAGGGGGTATGCAAAGCTACGTGGAGAGCTTGCCGTAGGTCGGGCGAGAGGGTTTCCACCACTGATTGGAAAAAGGTTTCGTTCGATTGAACTTGTCTGACGATGTTTAGCATTCTTGATCCTTCGGGCGAACTTGGTTCGATGGCGTCTCTGTGAAACGCTTCGGCTATGATGTGTATTATTTTCGGTATAAATGCATTATTTGGTCCTGCAACAATAGATAAATGTAGGAATTAAGAAAAATAAATTATACAGGACGTATCAAAAAGTTTGCGACAGTTGTTTAGTGTTTTTTAATGTTGTCACCTGTATGTATGTTTGTACAGGGTGTACCAGTTTGGTTGAAATCATACGGTATCTCTGTTATTAGTGAAGATAGAAGGATGCGGGTTGCACAAACTTGTACTACTTTTTTGAAGATGTTGTAAACAAAATTTTCATAGCTACAGGGTCTTTTTGAAAATTTTGCAATTCGGGACACCCCCCGTATCTCTGTTATTGTGAAAGGTATCGAGAAGGTAAAAGCTGTTTATTGTAGAACTTTTTTCGTAGAACACAGTGACGTAGTCTATTTTTCTACGAAAACAATATTTGGAGGATATGAACTGTTTTTTTAAATGTATATTTATAAATTATATGATCAGGCTTACCATAAGCTTATCAAAAATATACAGGGTGGTCCGAACTGTATTCCGGAAACTTCGGCAAAATATTCTGCAGATAAAAATAAGTAAAAAAGTTTGTATAAATGTATGTCCTAAAATGGCTTAGTTTGGGAGATACAGGGTGTAGAAGTTTCATTTTTATTTCGATTTTTTCCAAATAATTTTTGTAGTAACGTCAATATTTGGATGAATATTGGTGTCTGGGAGTTTTTTCACATGGGGGTCATTTTGATGTCAATATGACTCCTACTAGTAGAGGGCACCACCTACATATTTTTTAACTGGTTTGAATAGTAATAACTTTTCGTCCATACCTGTATAAAACTAGTGCGTAAAAAATATTTATTTACGACGTTTTTTACGAAAAATAGGTCCCTTGGTAAAAATCGCTACGATTAATGGTTCTCGAGATATTTGGAATCGAAATTATCAATACCTGTCATCATTGACACAAAATAAACATGTTGACTAAATAGTTATTAGACTGAAGTCATAAATTTGAAATGTTTTTGTGCCAAAAGTTCAACAGAAACTGTTTTATCATCATTTTTTGCAGAAAAATTTATGATTAATTTAAAAAAATAAAAATTTCCCAAATTAATTATTTCAGTAAAAAATAACTATCTATATTTTTCGTCAATAATGACATGTATTGACTATTTCCATTCTAAATATCTTGAGAACGGTTGCTCGTAGCGATTTTTACAAAGAGATATTTTTTACGTAAAAAGTCACAGAGATGTATATTTTCTCCATCAGTAGTTTTATACAGGTACGGACAAAAAGTTATTACGCTTCAAAACAGTTAAAACACATATAGGTGGCGCCCTCTACAAATAGGAGTCATATTGAAAAAATGAAATTTCAAATTTCTCATGTCAAAATACTCCCAGACACCAATTTTCATACAAATATTGACGTTACTTTAGAAATTATTTGGAAAAAATCGAAATAAAAATGAAACTTCTACACCCTGTATCTCTGAAACTAAGCATTTTAGGACATACATTTATACGAACTTTTTTACTTATTTTAATCTGCAGAATATGCTGCCGAAGTTTCCGGAATACAGTTCGGACCATCCTATATATATCAATCTATATTTGTTTTCACTATTTACTGCAATATTTACGTTTCATTAAAAGATCATTTTTATTAGTAGGCCAGGATCGATAATAATTATACTAATAATTTTATAATAAAATACTAACTAAAGAATTATTAAAAGTATACTGCTATCTGACTTGTGTTTTATTTTGGGAGCCACTAATAAATTCTTCATATCATATTGGGGAAACTTAACTCTCTACCGCTATTTGTAAATCTTGGAAGCTACCGTACTGGAACTTTTGGATATTCCTTTAGGTAATTTACGCGAAATATACTTTTAGCAAGATGGGGCTCCCCCTCACAACTTTGAAACTATTAGAATTTTGTTAAATGACTATTTCCCAAATCAATGAATTGGGACCAATGGTTATAGCCTCTCTGATCCCCGGATTTGTCCTTTCTTGATTTCTGTATTTAGGGATTTTTGAAATATGAAATATATTGTGGTAATTACAACAATGTCTAAGACCTGCAAAATGCTATCAGGCAAGCTTTTAGATATTTACAAATCCATGTCGTTATAAAAAAAATCGTTATGAAAAAAAAGAAGAAAAATATATTTAGCGATTCAGTGGTAACAGTTTCAATGTAAAATATTTTAGTCCCAAATAAAATTTTAATATCTGCAATATCTGCATGAGTATTTTAATAAATTCCATTTTGATTATTTTGTTATCTATCACGGCCTACTAATAAGAAAATTATATCTTTTAAATATTGCAGTGTAGTGAAAATAAATATAGTGATATATATTTTTGAAAAGCTCGTAGCAAGACGGATCATATGATTTATAAATATACAGGGTGTTCCATTTAAAAAAACATAACTTTAGATCATATTTTCAAAAATATGATCTAAAGATCTTGTGTTTTTTAAAATACTAAGATCTTGTGTTTTTTTAAATACTCAAGTGCCTATTTGTTTTTAACAATGTATGTGTTATTACATAACTAAATATTGTCTTATCATATAGAATTGATTTTTTCTAATTAGGTAGTTAACACTAGACTTATTAGGACATCAACCTTTAGTTTTAATCATCTGCTTATAATGCCACAGATTATACAGATTATAAACTTTGTTTTTTCTTTATTGTTTTTCGTGGTTCCAATTTTCGGAATCGGGCACTAGTTAGGTTACTAGTTTGCGCACATAGCATGCCCACTTATGGCCTCTAAAATTGTGCACAGCGCCTGACCGGCACAGTTATTAGAGAGATATCGGAAAACCGAATAGCGTCATGCAGTATTTACGCATACCTTATCAAAATAAAAACACTAAATCACTACAATACACCAAAACACTTTTACTTTTACACTGGACGCGCGTTTCGCTAACCATGTTAGCATCATCAGCAGATGATTATAAACTCAGTTTATAATCATGTGCTTGTGGTGATTTAGTGTTTTTATTTTGCTGTTTAACACCAAAGGTTCCAACCCTCAACTGTAATCGCATACCTTATCATGGTTACGATATGCGCGAGTCAATTTTTAACGCAACACCCGCTAATAACGTTACCGCCTGATGTAATTTGCGTATCAATTACACGAAGCGCTATTTCTAAATAACGTTTAAAAATTGCTTAAATGGACATGTGCGGGGATTTGACAACCGGGACCGGCCGGCGAGATCTTTTATTTTAGGTTATGTTTGAATTGTTTTGAGTTATTACTTTAGTTTTATTAGGTAATTTGATATTTAAGTAGCTGGGATTAGTTTTAATTAAATAAATATGGCCCAAAATATGGATTCCACCTCTTCCAATATTAAAGAACATATAAAGAGGCTTAGGTTTACAGCAGATGACGACTTAGCCATTCTAAGAGAATTTGTTGCTTGTTGCCCTAAACCCACTGGCAGACGTTGAACAATAAAGCACTGGAAATAAGCACTTTACCCCTTTAGTTTTAAAATACCTAGTAAACAAAACAATTTCAAGGTTTTAAATTCAAAGTTAGGTTAAGTTTAAATAGCGGACGCGAAGCGAACAGAATTATTTCCGATCCGATAACTATAAATGAAGAGAGTTTATACCACCTCACGTAAAGGAAATAACACCTGGCCTTATTAACGTCCATGCACGCTATTAGGTTTAGCGATATCTCTCTATTATGCTGTTTATTGTTATTTTACGTGAGGTTTTGCGCACAGAAAATTTTACTCGTTTGCACATCGTCATAAAAAACAATTTTCGTACGACTAATTAAGGATAACATTTTTATCTGTATACTTATAGAATACCTAATCTGTGATAATGCTAACAACACCAAAGGTTCGAACCCTCAACTGTAATCAAAATGTAACACTTACCAATAACCGCCTGATTATTTTGCTCTATAAGATCGCACATATAGCCGTACACGTGCACTGCCTCGTCCGAGTCCTCCAACACGGGCAACCACGAGAACCAAATGGGTATCAGCTCGTTGAGATTGATTTGTGAACTGTTGTACTTCATGATTTTCGTGACGGCCGATATCGCGTTCTCTGTCGCGTTGATATTTTTGCTATCTTTCGCTTCCGGATCGCTGATGACCTCGACAAGTGACGGTACTATTTTGGCCAATTCCCCTGCAAATTGATCCCCTCCGAACTGTGCCAACACGCCCCAACCGTAGGCGGCCGCTTGTCGCACGTCGCAGCTCTTATCTCTGACGTAAACAGCGAGCGGTTCCAGGAAGCAGGCCTGGTACTTGGAGCAGGCGGGGCCGGTGAACTCGATGACGTCGTCGAAGACGCAAATGCCCCACTGTCGGTCGGCCCAGCTTCGGTTCGGCGCGAGGAGGTTGACGAAATGGTTCATGATCTGGTCGAAGAAGGGTATAAAGTTCTCGCGATACACCTCAAATAACGAGTGTACGACGTCAGCTATTTTGGTTAGAACGTAAATGTCATCTGATTCTTCGTCTTCTAGTTGTTCTTGCACCTCCTGAAAATTAAAAAAAAGGTTTTTATTATTATATTGGTTCTAATCCGGTGTTTTAGCATATTTTCATCATCATAAACAATTAGTTATTGGATAGCTCGAGTGAAAATTTGCTCGAGTACTCGATTATTGAAATAACCGATATCGCTCGATTATGAATGACCGATGCAAGTTACGAGTTACGAGCGACGAACGCATGCGGTCTTATTGAGCGAATTTGGTTCATACATTGCAGATTGGCAATATTTTCACAGCATTTTTGGTAAAATATCTTCAAATAAATATTGTTCTTTTGATTGGGACCGCATTGTTAAATATAGGACTATACAATATTATCTGTTACGTAACTGTGTGATAAAATGCTTCGATGCATGATCAAGCGAACTACTCGTCGCTTGTCGCTTGCAACTATCATCGAAAGAACATGCGTCCTGCGCACGCAGCTTACTGCTTGGCGCTACGAGTACAAGCGACGGCGAAAAACCGAATAATTAAGCCGAAAAATAAGAATTTAAATACAAGCGAAATTTCGCTCGAGCGACCGCTCGATTATTGAAATCGCTTGAAACTCGAGTACTCGATTATTAAAATTTCATCGTTTTTTCCCGTCACTATAAATAATCAATCTTCATCAAATCAATCAAATAAATTATTTCAAAAATGACGGATCATATTTCAATACGATTGGAGCGACAGAACGATAAACTACACACGGACGCAGACGCGTATGAACTGGACTTAAGGTTATCGAGACGTGTCAAACTCTTGCAAAATTATAGGTTATTATTTGTGTCAAAATTACGTCAAATAAATAGCGTTCTGGGGAAAATTATTATTTGCGAAATGCTTTTCCATTATGGTTTGAGTTATAGTTTTCCATTTTTTTGGTTATGGTTAGTGTTTATTAATGATAAGTGGATAAAAAATTGAGGGAAAAGTGAGTGTAGGCTCAAAGAGTTGTATTAGCTACCAATAAAGTTTGTATACCGTCTCGTATATTGTACTAAAAACTGGAGTAGTTGTAAAATAAAGACCATAACACGATAAGTCTACCGGGTGTGTCTAAAAAGTGGCTCACTCCTATAACTATTATATTTTTTTCAGATAAAAAAATGAGATTTGGTACGTTAGTATATGACATAAACTAGGATTGATTGACGTATTCAATTGTTTTTGGCCACTTCCTGTTTCACCGGAAATGACTATAACTTTTGATTTTTAAATATATATCATATGTCAACTTTTGAAATTTTCGCATATGGTTTATTTGAAATTGTAACATGCGGTTCGTAACGACAATTTGACTCGAAATACCAAGTGTGTGGTACCAAGTTTTTTGTAAAAAATGCTTTATCCAAATATGCTAATGAGTCACCCTTGTTCCATTTGAAAAAATTTAGATATGATTAAAAATACCTTTTTGGCATCTTCTAACTGGCCAGGACATGGCACGAAAAACATTAGACGACGAAATATATTTTTCCAAGGCTCCTTTATTAAAAATTAGTGTTTTTAACCATAGCACTTTCGATTGAAATTTAAAATACGATTTTTTATAAGCGAAAAAGTTGACATATGATGTGTCATTCTATTCAGAGTGTCATTTTCAATCGAATAAAGTAAAAATGTACCGAGGGTGCCATTTAAAATCAAAAGTTGTAGTCATTTCTTTTGAAACAGGAAGTGACCAAAAACAATTGAGTACTTCAAACAATCTTAATTTATGTCAAATAGTAACATACCAAATCTCGTTTTTTTTATCTGAAAAAATAAAAAAGTTATAGGGGTGACCCACTTTTTAGACACACAGGTATAAATAATAATAAATTTTAGTACTGTAAAGAGATAAGATGAAAAGGCACTGGTTTAAAAAATTGTAAAGTCTTTAAAAAGTAAGCTGTAAAATAATAACATTACACGATAGGTAAATGATAATAGATTTTAGTACCGTAGAGAGATAGGATCGGTAGTTGCGCATTTGCGACTGCGGCATTAGATGATGCAATAGTCTTCTTTCCTGCATCAGACTGTATAATTCTTACCTCATCATAGTCTTCATCCAAATGCTTCTTGTGCCTATCGTTAGCCCTGTCGAAATGTTCCGTCATAAGTTTGTCAATAATCCTCAATATTTCCGTCATGTATTCCTGGTTCAAGTAGGACGAACCCAGTTTCTGGATACACCTGGCCAACGAATCCAACATGATGAGCAGCACCTCGCTCTCCGGTTCCGTGTCGATGGCTCTGAGCAGCTCGGGGCAGATGTAACGCCACATTTCGTTGACGAGGGCGGGCCCCTTGCAGATGGCGCACTCCAACAGCCAAGGCAGCGACTCGGAGGCGGCGTTGCGCACGCCGTCGTGGAAGTAGAACTTGAGCATGGGCACCATCAGTGTGACGGTCTCTTCGACGTAGGGGGCGAAGCCGTCCTTCAGTTCTCGCGCGTAGCAGACCAACATCATACACGCTGCCGCTTTGTCTTCTAAGCCTGTAAACCGCGATATATTAAGTGGAAATTGATTCTAGAAGAACACTGAGATAGAGATAGTGTCAAAGATAAGTTTATCGCACAACACTGTGTCACAGATAAGTCCACAATATATGAGTTTTCTTAATTATTGATTTTATTTGGTTTAGTTGGTTTGGTTGACATTTAAAAATTTAACCTACTGTATTTAAACGCTGGTATCTGTGAAATTTCAATTTTAAAAAATAAATGACCAAGAAATACTCTTTTCCGGATGAATTGAAAAAAAAAACTGTATTTGTAAAATTTCATTCTTTTCCACTTTTGCATTATTTCCACTTAGTGTATCAATACATAACCGCCTAGGAGGAATATGTATTTTCTCAGTGTTTAACAAAAAAATACGCGTATTGATACTTAGGCCCGGTTGTACCAAAAAGTTCACCGACAGATCAACTGTGAACGACGATCAAAGCAAAAAATGCGTTGTATCAAGCCTGAACGCCGTTCAAATTGCCCGGTCTGGCCCGGTCAACTGAACGGTGACATTAAGCGGTTCAAGCGTCGTTCAGGGGTAGACATAACCTTACATTATTTGACATATTCCGTTTTTCGTTGTTTTGATGATCGTTTTGTTATTAAGATTTTTCGTAATGGATCCTTTATTAGGTGAATTAACTGACGACGAAGATTTTTTAGAATTAGTTGGACAACATGAACGGTTAAGGAGACCACAAACAGTATGATTTCAACCAAACAATTTCGAAAAATGGATGGAACGACGTGAATTTTAAGAAAAGAGTTCGGCTTGCTAAACCTATTGTGAATTATTTAATAGAGGAAATTTCCGGTTTAATTACATCCAAAACAAACAAGTTTAATTATGTATATTTACTGTATCTTACTTAAGCTTTTATTTTTAGAAATCATGCTTTAACACCAGCTGACATGGTGTTTATCACATTACGGTTCTTAGCAACAGGATGTTTCTACAAAGTGTTGGTGATACCAGTGGTGTAGACAAGTCTACTACGAGCCGCGTGATTACAAAAGTAACTAGAGCTATAGCATCTTTAAGCAAGGACTTTAATAAAATGCCAATGGGAGTGGAAGAGAGAAATTCAAAAGCACAAGGATTTTATAATATTTGTCGCTGTCCAAGATGCATAGGAGCAGTTGATTGTACACATGCGAAGATACAATCTCCTGGAGGGACAAATGCAGAGAATTACCGCAATAGGAAAGGATTTTTTTCATTTAATGTCCAAGCAATTTGTGACAGCGATTTGAAAATATCTAACATTGTGTGTAGATGGCCTGGTGCCATGATTCAATTATATTTAGAAATTCTAGAGTAAAGGCTGAGTTCGAAAATGGAGTATATGGAAATAATTTATTACTAGGGGACAGTGGGTATGGAGTAAAACCGTACCTAATAACCCCTTTGGCGAATCCAACAACGAGGGCTGGAAACTTATTTAACGAAGCTCAGATAAGAACAAGAAACCCAATAGAAAGGTATTTTGGTGTACTAAAAAGAAGATTTCCTATATTAGCGACAGGAATTCGTTTAAATGTTGAGAAAGTAGAAGCAATAGTGGTTTCCGTTGCTGTTCTTCATAACATAGCATGTCAGTTTGCAGATCCAACACCATTAGTAACTGATGAAATTGAAGCGGAAATAAACATTGGAAATAATATAGGAGAACATGTTCCAATTGACTTGTGTGGTATAAATAATAGTTTTAGGTATAGTTTAATTAATGAATATTTTGAATCACTGTAAATATGTGATTTTACGATATAGAATATATTTATCCAAAAAAATCCTTTATGGGTTTTTCGCCACTGCACTGCAAGAAAAATCTACAAAATGAAATAGTTATTTTTGGTAAACACTTCTGCGTTAAACCTGAACGGACGCTGCTTAAAAAAAATTATGCTATTTTAAATAGTTTTTTTTCTTGATTCTTTATATTTTTTGCTTCCGACGACGGAAAGAGAAAACTTTCCGAAACGTTAAGCATTTTTTTCTTTGTTAGGCAAATTTTTATAACTGTAAACACAACTTCTGACAAGCAGCGTCCGTTCAGGTTTAACGCAGAAGTGTTTACCAAAAATAACTATTTTATTTTGTAGATTTTTCTTGCAGTGCAGTGGCGAAAAACCCATAAAGGATTTTTTTGGATAGATGAATCCGCCACATAGGTATAGACATTTTTTATAGAATATATTGCTGAGTATTAATTATTTACATCTAGAACTAATTATTTACGTCTAGAAAATGTTTCAATATTATTTTACTAAAACATTCTTAAAATGTCTTAATGTTTCAAAGTCAAAATAACTTATTAATTAATTAAATTGTGATTATAATTACCACAAAATAAATTACCATTACATACTGTTGTGTATATTTTGATTTTTGTTTACGTTTTTCATCAAATGTATGATTTTTTAATGGTAAAAACTAATAAACTGATTTGTCTGAAAAATATTAAAATTTGTTTATATAAAATATTTTATTGTATGTATAGGATTATTTTTATATTTTTGACAATTCTGATTATAAGTAGATAATTAAATAACAATAATTAATAAATGGTATTACATTAATACAATTCAGTATACTTGTTGTTTGTACTAGATATGTAATATGTAAAAGAAATAAAACGATATAATATGTATGCATATCTTCAAAATTCATATATTAAGTGTTAAGTGTTTATATAATATTTTTTAATAATTATATATTTACAGAGTATTTATTGGTCAATTATTTTTTTTATTAGTTCCTTGCTATATTTTAAAAATTGAATTCTCTCATCATGCTCCCTTTCTTGCTGCCTCATAAAGGCTTCATGCTTTTCCTGAATTTGAGACATTTTTAAATTGTGCTGCTCTAGGAAACATTTCTTTTGAAGCTCAGCGAGTTCAATTTTTGAACTACTCCAATCTGTTAATTTTTTTGTTAAACCAGGTTTGCTTCTGGAATTTTCCTTATTTTCTGTAAATACAGTAATGTACATATATCATAGACAAATTAAAACTTAATTTATTAGAAAATTTTTACCTTTTTTTGCACTTGGACAAAGTTGAATTGACTTGGGAGTTTTTAACATATCAGAATCGGTCAGCCGCAAACACGTATTAAAAAGTCGTATTTTATGGCAACAGAAAGGAAAAAAGGTACCATAATTTATATTTTGGGAAAACCCGCCAATCAATAAAACAAACTTTTAAAAGCATTTACGCCAACTTATATAAAAACTCCAAAAGTTACTGTGAAGTGAAATTCAATACCAACATAAGAAACTAAATATTGATCGACGTTCTACTGAACGCGAGTTGGTGCAACGCAATCCAAGTTCAACTTTGACCAACAGATCAGTTGAACTCTCGTTCAATTTATTTTGGTACAACCGGCCCTTAAATAACTGAATACGTTAATAAGAGATAATGAACTACTCTAGATCATATATACTTACGTGGATAAATCAACGCCATAAGTTTAGCATTAAAAAATATGTCTCCAACATCACGACATGCCATTACCGACATGTTAAACCTTCTTTATTGCACTTATGAAACGTTCAATAGGTTTGCCTATGTCAAGAACCTTAGTTTGCACCCATGCGCATTAAAAGTTGCACGTATTTCCAAAATAATCACAATTTTATACGGTTTATAAAGTACAAATTTTACATTGTTATAGAAACCAACTTTTCATTGTCATCATATTGTCATAATCTTATTTCCATTGTGTAACGACGCTTGTTTTTTTGCGTTTTTTATTTTAAAAATTGTAATAATTACTCTTTTATCGACCATTTTATATAGCCAAGGATGCAAGTGTATTCAGTGAGAAGTTAATTTTAAGTTTGTGAAACTATATTTCTTTTTTTTTTCGTTGGACTTTCTAAATACTCGTAAAAATGACTAGAAAGTGTTTAGTATGTGAAAGTTCTAATATAAAGATTCCCGAATTATCTTTTCATATGCAAGTAAAGTATTCAGTTGTTCTTTTATTTATATTAAGCCACATGCAAACTTTCTGGTTAGATTTCCTAAGAATACTGATATTCGTACGGAGTGGCTAAATGTATTTTTTATATAATTTAATTTTTACGACAACATTCAATTTATTGTTCAATAAGCATTTTACAAATTAAATTTTTAAAATTAATGTTTAAATTTGGCGCGCGGACGATAGGTCCTCGACAAGGATAGATAGAGTAGAAGCACCGCGTGTGCAACAAAAAAAGAAGATATGGAAGTCGTTGATGTTTGCGACAGTTTCCATAGCGATTTACTTATCCACGTAATATATATGATCTAGGTGTACTACGGACTAATTACAGGACAAATATCGGTAACGCTGATTAACATGAAAGTTGCTATAGAATTTCCGAAATCAATTGGAAATATTAATACTCTTAATGCCACCTGACCAGACGATACCGACAAACAAAGTGCCGAAATTAAGAGTCCCACCCTATGCCAACTGACTTCGGTAAAACTATACAATTAGTGTCCTCCATTCACGCAGTTGTGCAGCTCTGAACTGTTCAAGAACGCGATACTCTCACTCCATTCAATTGAGTCATAAAGTTCCAGAACTGTTCCGCGCCATATGGAGGCACCAGGCTATCGCGCACAGTTCCTTTCAGAACCGTTCTCAAGTAGCCCAGGGGCGTAAAGCTCGGAACTTGAAGTTCGCGAATGGAGGACAGAAAATGCTGCCGGATCTACTGTCATTCATTTAATTAAAATAAATGTAAGGCAATGTAGATTTATGAATAAATTAATAGTTAGAATGAATCTAAATATTTCCTTCTCGGATTGATGACCTTTTTAGTAACATATTTACAATTTGATCCTCTAAACATACTTTTGACAGCACCAGCATTGAATACCAGCTGTCAAGAGACCGTCTTCAACTTGAACTTGAATTAAAACAAAAAACTGCTGAAAAAACAGTTATAACAATTACCAAAGGTCAGAGGACTAAGCATTTAAAGGGAAATTAAAACAACTTTCATTGCACGTCATCAATGACAACATGGTGGTCGTATAGTGATGTGCAACCAAAGTTATTTTAATTTCCCTTTTTTATATGATTCATGGTTATAAATTATTTTAGGCTTTGATTATGGAAAACGTCACCTGTCGATAAAATAACGTGGTACATGCTGTAGTCAGTAGTCAAGCCTCAAAACCTTTTTCCAGAAGGCGAAAGAAAAACGAAATGGCGTTATTTTGCCAGGAGCGCGCATGAGCAGTATAACGGAAAACGTAAGGATAAGGTATAACGAATTAAAAATGCAGAGGGCTTAAAAACTCTCTTATTATAACATAGATGCTCATCATGACACTTTAACTATCAAAGTTGTCAAAATAACGCCTCCCTTAATAGTGCATATTGTTGTAATAACTCTCAAATACAGATCGTAGATCTATACTGTCAGTGCATTCCTATACATACCAGCTGTACGTATTCCAAAGTTCTTCTGTTCGCCAAGCGAAACGAATTGCCAGTCGTCTTCCTGACCTTCCATGCCAGCCATTTCGTCGCTGTCCAACAACGCAACGTCAGGTTTCATTGCTGCCGTTCTCATAACCGGGCCCATCACCAATGGTAAGTATGGTTCGAAATTTTTACCAAGAACCTGCGTGAGTGATAAAGAACAAAATTAATTTAAAGAAGTTTTACATTCCTTTCGGAATGGGTATCCTCCAACGGTCTAAGACACTCGAAAAAGTTCCCCAGAACTTACGACCGAGAAAAATCAAAGGTTTTCTTTAATTTAAGTAAAAACAATCTTCGGATTGTCACGGGATTTCTAACAGGACACTGCCTCCTCAACGAACACCTCAGTAGGCTGAAGCTGAGAAACAACGGCGAATGCAGATTTTGTGGGGAAAATGGGGAAACACCAGAACACCTTATCACTGAGTGCGTCGAGGCGACGACCATTCGTGCCATGAACTTTGGTACGTCTGATGTCGAGGATGGAGAGCTGGCCTCTGTGGAGTCGTCTCAGATACTGGCTTTTGTTAAAGCCCTGAGACTGTATGATGAGTTATAACTCGTTATAACTCAAGAAAGGGGAACACAATAGATCTATAAGGTCACGGTGATTAACTCCCCTCCTAAACAATCTAAACATACTACATTCCTTTCTTTTTTTGAAGTGCAAGGTCGTGACACATTCAAGGCAGTGAAGAATTCAAAAAAATTCAAGGCTGTGACACACAAGACGCGTCGGAAAAAGTAGTAACGATTGGAGGTTAAGAGGGAGCGTCGTAACTCAAGTGCGCCTATGTACGCCCTCTATGTGCGCTAGTGGGCTGAAACTATAAATGCAGATAGGGTTCGAATAGCCCCATCTGTTCATGATATTTTGACGACGTTTCGTGCAATACGAAACCCCATCATCAATGAATTTCGTATGTCGATAGATTGGACCAAGACCGACTTAACCGTGTACGATACGTGTTCAAAGTTGATGTTATTGTTTCTTTGTGTCACTGTTGCAGTTAGTTTTGACGTAAGAAATGTGTCAAAAGTTGATGTCGTCCGATCGCGACCAAATTTGGTAAGTAGGCTATGTGAGCGACGGTGCACACGGTCCCACCCTGCAAAATTTGATACGATGTTTCGTTTACATCTTTATTAGGGTGGGACTAACGATTTGATATTGATGAAAAATGTGGATCGATTTCGGCATAATTGGGGACGGGCTACAGGATGACGCCCTCGACGTTTCGAACCGATGCCTCTAAATGGACGAAATCATCAGAATGTTTCTCTTAGTTATGGGTCGATTGAAACCAAACTCGGCACATGAATAGAAGTACCAGAATGGAGTCCTCAGACGGACAGACAGACAGACAATAGTAAGAAGTTAAGTTTCACTTCAAATATGCGCACATAGTGCTCACACAATTTTTTAGTTTAAATTAAATCTTTATGGCGTCTCTAAAATTTCTTTGATCCTCAAATAGTTTCTTCATTTAAATTTTATAAAAATTGTGTCTTAACTTGAAAGAAATAAACACACCATATTAACATTTGTGTATATTTTTAACACAAATTTTCTTGAGGGGAATCCCAAACCGTACTTTTTTCTTCAAATGACGAAAAACTTTTGCATTTTTAACTAGTCTATTTTGGATAAACCGGATTTCAGATTAAAGGGATAGTACTACAATTACTGTATCTACATATATATAAAACTTACTTTACAGATTCTAGACCAGGCAGATATTAAATAACTAGTTTGAGGATCGTCATCGGGTAATTCAAATCCATTACCATACGTTTTGAGTAGCATGTCCATCACTTGAGTTGCATCAGCACTGAATTTTTCTGGACCCACCGCTATACCAATTAAAGTAACACATTCTATAGCTTTACCTAAAAAAAATCACCATAACATCATTTGTAATTATATTAAGTGACGTCGCAATTTTTAGGCGCCTAACGCCTGTTTAAAGTAGTGAAAAATATAAAATTCAGGCATTTTTTAATGTTAAGGATATTTTTTGATTGCTGGAATATATAATAATAAATTAAAATATAGTAAAAGATGAGATTAGTACCTCTAAGCAATTTATATTCTTCTTTATTAGCGTTTTCAATGATATATTTTAGACAAGGCATCAACCGATCGTAGTATGTGATAAATTCGTTTTCCGCAGTGTCTGCTACACTGGCAATGGTCGTTACTACTTGTTCTAGAACTAATTTGGTGCCCTTTTCTATCAACTCCTTCACTTTGATAGTGAGGATTCCTTCCAGTTTGGCCATTAGAGGTTCTAGGTATTGGCTCAAGATGTATTTTGGACAGTCCTCAGCAAAATTGACCAAGGCGGCACCTACAATCATGAAGTAATGTTTTGTAAGAAAAAAACGTGAACAGGTAGTGTTAGACTGGCGTACCAGCATGAGCTTGTACCCTTGGGTTGGCGTTATCGTCTAATAACATTAGTAAGCCTGGAACTACGCGATCGTGAAATTTCTTTTCGAAAAGGGGTGCAAAATCAGTAGACATTTGGCCAATGGCGTTACAAGCTGCGTAACGTACCTGCAAAAATTACATAAAAAATTGTCTAAAAAGAATAATATACAGAGTGTAAATTAACTATTAGAACTTATCCACCTACTATGAGATATTAGATACTCTAATTCAGCAAAATTATCAGATGGACAATAATTGAAATAGTTGGCTATACTAATTTTGCTCGTTTGGTTGGCAATAAATTTTAAAAAATCGAATACTGATCGGCTATTAGACGCCATTTTTTTTGGCTGTAACAAATGAGTCATCAGCTGGTCATCTTTGTAGTGAACTTTGTATAAACTTTATTACAACGGTGATTAGTCGTTCAGCTTTCCAGAGTAAAAGCCGCAGCGATAAAAAAGAGCCACGAGTTACGTTCATAGGAAAATAAACAGTTCACTCTCACCTTTTTAGCGTTTTTTTTTATTGAATTGGATAATTATTTTTCTGATATTATATCGTCGGCTTTATGACGAAAAGGCGTATCTCGATTTTTGCTACTTTTCAGGAGAGCAATTTAAAGAAAATCACTTACTTTATTTGGCCAATAAATGTAAAGTCTTTAATTTTTTAATAGTGTTTTTGTATTAACACTTAAATGGAGACATTGAGGAAACGTTCTGAAGATAAATTGTGCGTAAATTCTAATAAATAATTTCTTTTTAGTTGTTTAATAGAGATAGCCCTTTTTGTTATAATAATAATAAATTTATTTTTCTGAATGAATAGTATACATACGCCCATGTAAAATAAATTTAAAAATGATGGTAAAGTGTTCTTAATAAGGAAAAAAAAATACAATATTCACATTATGGAATACATACATACAGAAAAAATCTGAAAATCGCCAAAAAATCAGAAACAACTATTTTTAAATACTTTTATTCGCGTTGGATTAGATCAACTGAAAACAAAGACAATTTTCATTCCAGAAGCAAAGACAATAATCAATTAAAATACACTTATCTAGCTTATTTTAATAATATTGTTTTTTCTACAAAAATACATTTTTTTAACTAATATATTTTTAGTAATTATTCAGTTAATTGAGGGCATTAATACAAGGCATTTAAACTCACGGTCCATTTAATAAAAACCAAACTAAACAAAAACAAAACATGTTTCTTCATTCGTGCCTTTTTGATACAAATAACTGTGGACTAACAGTTTCTGTTTTCCCTGTTCAATCATAACAAATTCGACTTCCATTCTACGTGTTTATGCAGGATGATGATAGGCACAATAAATAAAATTTTCCAAAAATTGACAGGGATGACAATGCCAATGGCCTGACAATGATAATGAGATAAAAATTATTGTATTTTTCGGGCAAGTTTTTGGTTCGCTAAAATGTTCTTAGGGAAATTATAATTTCGGGAATTTTTCCATCAGGGCAATTTTCGTTTCGTTGTTTTGCTTTCGATGAATTTTTCTTCGGCCATTTATTCTCGGACAATCTTTTGCATACCCGATACAGCTATGTATGAGTCTAGCTAGTCTATGAGTCTAGCTCAGCTCTAGTCTATGAGTCTAGCTCATTCTAATAATGGTTTTTGGCAAAAAACAGACTCAAAATCACACTATAAAAGAGAACTGCTGCCATGATAGAAGTTTTATTTTGTCCCAAGCAACCATCAGAAAATAATTAGGTAGAATGGTGTGATTTTCTCTTGCATGCATTTTCATAACTTAAAACAAAAGGACCTATCTCAAATTCCATCTTTCTTGTAGTATAACAATAATTGGTATAACAATTGATATAACAAAGAGCCCTATCTCAAAATACGTCTCTTTGTCATAACGAAGAATTGTAGTATTTGAGATGGGGCAAATTTTTAAACGAATATAAAATGAAAAAGGTACAATATTGAGATGGGCAAATTCGCTATGTTAAAATATGACCCATTGGGCATGTCATGACGTTGACATCTCAAAATCGCCAAAAATCGAGATACGCCTTTTCGTCATAAAGCCGACGATATGTACTTGATATGTGCTATACGCCGATACTGGTTTTGTACCTTTTGTTAACGTTTTAATACCTTTTTTTGTAATTAAATAGTATGATACACCATAGGCGCAGTCAAAACATTTATCTCTTTTCAAGCGGTCATGTTAAGAAAAATATATGCCACGGCACTGTTTGGTGGCTGCAGGGGTGTACATTTTTTAAATGGTAGGTACACCCTATACCGGGTGTTGCTTCGTCGAGCGGGACATAGGAAATCCCATGTAAATTTTAATGGGGTCAATTATTGGCTTCCCAAATTATTTTAGAGAATAATTCTATTTAGGTTTATTGAAGAGCACTAAAATCCACATTCAAAAGAATAACTTTAGATATTTTTGATTAGCCCGTTTACGAGTTATCGCCGATTTCTTTTTAAATATTTCTCCTTTCTTATGGCCCTGTAGTTACTTATGAGCACCAGTCAAGGTAAAAGATAACTGTCAAATGAAGTTGTCATTTCAGAAATTTATCTATTTAGTGCTTTATTATTTTTATTAAAAACTCTACTTACATCAAAAATATTAGCCATGAATTACACTACGGAAGAAAAAGTATTGATGATTAAATGGTATTATCAAGGAAATAGTTATCAAAAGGTGTCGGACATGTTTGCTGCTCTGTATCCGAATAGACCGATACCTGGCAAATCTACAATCGCAAGGAATATCCAGAGATTTGAGACCAAAGGTACCCTAATAAATAACTGCAGATGTGAAGCAAGGCAGGAACAATGAGAAGATGCAAGAAATGATACCGACTTGGAAGTTTTATTGTGCGTGGAAGAAAACGATGGAAAGATCAGCACAAGGAAACTTGAGGATGAAATAGGAATAGATCACACTACAGCGTTTCGAATTTTGAAACGACATAAATACTATTCTTTCAAATATGAAAAGCACCAAGAGCTACGAGATGGGGACGAAATACGGCGGCAGGCGTTTTGTTTTTTTATGATGGAAAGAGCAAACACGGATGGGGAATTTTTAAAAAACATATGTTTCACTGACGAATGCACGTTTACCTTAAATAACGAACCCAATGTTCAAAATTATCGATATTGGAACAAAGAAAACCAACACAGGTTTGTCGAAACAAGGACGCAATATCCACAGAAAGTAAATGTTTGGGCAGGGATATTCGGACACAATATTATCGGGCCATTATTTCTTACGCGAAATTTAAATGCAGAATATTATTTGGAACTACTCGAAAATCATATTTTACCTGCTTTACAAGATGCCGCTAGGGAAAATCAGGAAGTTTGGTACCAAATGGATGGCAGTCCGGCACATAGTACCCTGGCTGTTCGGGAATATTTAGACAATAGTTTTAACGGAAACTATTGTCTAAATATTCCCGAACTATTGGCCTAAATCATACAGTAAATTGGCCAGCAAGATCTCCTGATATTTCGCCAAATGATTTCTTTCTCTGGGGCCATTTAAAAAACAGGATATACAAGGATAAAAAATACCCAAATCTAGACGAGTTAAAAAATGCTATTTCTGCCGAATGCAATAGAATTTCAGTTTACCAACTAGCGAATGTAAAGGTGCGTATTCATTATCCGAACGAACGAATGAAAGTGCGGTATATTTAGACGGGGACTCGTTTCGAGTCGGTACATCAAAGGCGTTCGCGTCCGGTCTTTTCGTGCGGTTCTATCGTACGCGGTCCCCGTCCATACCATTAGCGAACATTCGTTCGTTCGTTCGGATAATGAATACGCACCTTAAGAAGATAATTTTATGATCGCCTGGCATATTATCTAGCAGTCGATGGAGGAATATTTGAACATCTTAAATCCTAAAGTTCTAACAATTTAATAGTACCTAAATTAATAAGTTATTGAATATTGTAATAATACTATAATTAATCTTGTAATTGATTACTTTATTTTACTTTAATTCATATTAATTTGTATTTATAAATATATCTTTAAGATTTCCGATGTAGGAATGAATTTTCAATAATAATAAAGCACTAAATAAAATTTTTTGCGAATAAAGTATTTTAGCATCAGTACCAATCACAAATCCTCTAATACAGTTTTGCCAACTACTTCAATCATTGCTGATCTTTCTGTATGTTTTACACGCTTATTAATACATTAAATTTACGATTACTCATTGATGATTATGATAATATATAATATTCATTTATTTCATAGCATTAATATATTTGGACTACTCTTACCCTTGGATGCGGATCTTGCAAATAACGCAAAACGCCCTCCATTACTCCAGGCACACCGTCCATAATTTGTTGTAACATAGATTCCATATGCTTATGACATCCTTCTCCTATTGCACTGATCGCCATCAAGGCGGCATGGCGTTGTTTCCAATCAGGATTTCCCAACATTCTTGGGATGTTCACAGTTACCAATGGAAGAATGACTTTTCCACCTAAAAATAGTAAAACATCCTAAATTATATTCAATATAAACAATGATATATAACAAGCAATATACAGGGTGCGTCTCAAAAGCAGCCCACCACTGTAACTTTTTTATTTTGCAGATTAAAAAACGAGATTTGGTATCTTATTATACGAGATAAAGTAGGATTAATTCACGTATTCAATTGTTTTTGGTCACTTCCTGTTTCACCGGAAATTACTACAAATTTTGATTTTTAAATGGCACCCTCGGTATATTTTACTTTATTTGATAGAAAATGACGCTTGGAATAGAATGACATATCATATGTCAAACCTTTGACATTTTCGCTTAATAAAAAATTGTATTTTAAATTTCAATCTAGAGTGGCTCCATGGCTATGTTAAAAACATTAATTCTTAATCAAGGAGCCTTGGAAAAATAGATTTGATCATCTAATATTTTTAGTGTCTTGTCATGGCCAGTTAGAAAATGCCCAAATCGTACTTTTAATCATATCTTTTTTTCAATGTTACTTTTTTTTGCAAATGGAACAAGGGTGGCTCATTAGCATTTTTGGAAAAAGCATTTTTTTACGAATAATTTGGTACCACACACTTGGTATTTTGAATCAAAAAAAATTTCATTACGAACCGCAAGTTATAATTTCAAATAAACCATATGCGAAAATGTCAAAAGTTGACATATGATATGTCATTCTGTTCAGAATGTCATTTTCTATCGAATAAAGTGAAAAAATACCGTGGGTGTCATTTAAAAATCAAAAGTTGTAGTCGTTTCAGGTAAAACAGGCAGTGGCCAAAAACAACTGAATACGTCCAATCAATCCTGATTTATGTCATATAATAACATACCAAATCTCGTTTTTTTGTCTGAAAAAATAAAAAAGTTATAGAGGTGAGCCACTTTTGAGACGCACCCGGTATAATAACATATTCATTCAGAAATCACTGTATTCAAAATATCTTTATTGTTTATCAAACAAAAGAGTAGAAGTTGTGAATAAAGATGACTGCCAACAAATGTCACTGTCATATATTTTTTCCTTGAACAGACTTGGAACAGACTTTAAGTACATAACAAGTAAGTATTTATATTTACCCAATCCACATGCCAAACGATCTAAAGCTGCTTCAGCTACTACATTGTTACAGTCGTTATCTTCGTCCAACAGTTCGTCGGATGCAGCCCAGTTCTCTTCCTCCTCCAAGTCGGCCATAAATTGTAAAATTAGAGGGACCAGATCCTCCATGTATTTCCTGGCGTTCTTCCTCACCATGGCTGGAACGGTCTCCGCCAGCGTTACCATTACTTCTAATGCCAAAGCTCTCCAGCTGTCCAAAGAACCGGTATCGCTGAATACTTTCATGCACATTTCGTAAATATTTAGCAGCTGCGGTCTTAGGTATTTTGGGGTATTTTCAGCCAAATCTATCAAGACCTGGAAATGAATATTAACACTTAAACTTCGTTCAGAACATAGATAAAGGAGGCAAGTTTAGATTAGAATGCTCTGCTTGCTGCCAAAACTTATAACTGTTTTGGAGCGCATACGTTGTAGGGCGCTGCTATAGCGGTTAGGTTAGGTTAGGTACAACCGCAAACGGAAATAATTTTCTCTTTTCAAAGGGAGAATTTTCAAAAATTATAAAATCTTTCAAAATTTAAACCGCCCTCATTGAAAAAAGACAGAAAAGTGTTGAAATCCTCCATTTTCAAAGTAATTATTGCTATCTTGTGAGTTTAATTTAAATTTTATTTACTCAAACCAGTGATAATTGTGAAAAAGTGGTATTATAAACTGAAAAAGTTGTGTGAACTGCGAATTGCAAAAACCATCGTGGATCGTGGCATAACGTCGCCGTCGGTTTACAAGGTTACATAGTTATTTCATAGATGTTCTTATATAAAATAAAGTTTTTTAAAATAGGAAAAGAAAATAATAAATTTGAATACATATTTGGCCACATAATTCCGGAAAAAGCCTAACAGCTCCGAAATTATCAAAAGCTTTGGAGAGCGACTGTTGTAAGAATAGCGCCAAATTGTATTTACATTTACATAAAAAGATAAACTTTTAATTTTTTTCACTAATACCTCAAAATTTGCTTATTTATTATATTTATTTTTTTAAATTAAAATAAATTAAATTAAATAATTAATTAATTTAATTAATTCGATACTAAATACAAGTAATATTTAGGATAAAAACCACTCGAAATTTGTCCATTCTTTTTAATTGACGCATATATTTACGAATACTGAAAGGCAATGAAACAATAACCTTAAATTATAGTTTTGATCAATTGTTCATAGATGGCGCAATATTAGTTTTCCATATTAAAGTTGGTAAAGAAATATCGTTTTATTGAAAAAAGTATGGCTGTAGATCCTTTTTTAGTCAAAATCAAGAGACGCAATTAAAATTTGCGGTGAATGATTGAAAATTTTGATTATAAACTATGTGCATAACTTTGACCGCGAATAACTTTTAAAGGAATGTTTTTATGGAAAAAACCAAAGAGACCTTTTCTTTTGAGCGTAAAATTTTGTATTAGAATATGTCCTTGTCGAAGCTGTAGGTGTATTTGCTTTAGATAAAAAATTTGCGAGATAAAAAATTAAATGTAAAAGGTCAGAAAATCCCATGTTATTTAAATGGGAAAAGTATCATGATTTCGGCACGGTTTAAATTAAAAATTTAGAGCTTGTTTACGTTGGATAATTTTTTTTAGACCAAAAACTAAAACTTCAGAGGGCGGCACCAAAAAAAATATCAACTTGGGAAATAACGGACACCCTACTGAACAGTCTTCAGTCTTTGTTATTTTTGGAGGTATAAAAAGTTACAAAAAGGTATAGGGATATACGTTACCTTTAATAAAGTGTCATCATCTTGATGTTGAATACTTTCGGCAATAACCATCAGCATAGGTCCCAGTAGGTCAGCGAAATGTTTTAGGATCTGCGTTTCTTTGTCGTTGATCAGTATGAAAGCGCCCACCGCTCTGACGGCCTGGACTCGAACCTCGTACCCTTCGGTCGCCTGTAAACTTTGTATCAGCATTTGTTTGATTAGATCGAGATAGTTGTTTTGTTGGTTTCCGAACACGCCCGGAACGCTAGTGAACATAGCTAGGGCGGCTTCCTTGAGAACTGGATTCGTATCATTGGCACAATGGAATAGGAACTATAAAAAATATTAAAAAATAAATAAAATATTTTAATTACTTTTAAATTTGAAATATATTAACAATGGCGTAGTAAAATAGTTGATAGTGTTCAATTTTGGTTGCAATTGAGGGGTAAAAAATAAAAGTGGGTTTCATTAAAGAACCATATGTCTAAATTTTAAGGATTTTGTAGAATGTAGAATAAATTTTAAATTTCAATAACAGCTACCTAAATTGTAATATACCCTTATAGCCTGATATTTAATTACAATAACTATTGTATGTTAAACCAAAGTAAAATTTGTTTCGATTCGAAAAGTTATACAGGATGAGACAAAATTAATACTGAGGCTGCCATTTAAAAATCAAAAGTTATAGTCATTTCCGGTGAAAGAGGAAATGACCAAAAGCAACTGAATACGTCAAACAATCCTAATTTATGTCATAGAACATACCAAGTCTCGGTTTTTTTATCTTTTTTTATCTGAAAAAATAAAAATGTTATAGGGGTGAGCCACTTTTGAGACACACCCGGTATATATAATTTTAAAGCGAGTTTAATCTTGAACATTATACACCGTTTATTGTTGTATGTTATCTATGAAAAAATCATCTTTAAACGATACCAACGCGGTTCATAAAACCGTGCTTCCATTAGTAAACAGAGTTTTCAATTTTTCTTCTTCTAGATACAATTTTTTTAACTATATTAAGTAACACCTGTTTTTTTTATTGGAAATCCGCAAACGGCCAAGTTTTCAATCCAAACAAATTATTTTAATATAAAACAACCATAAAAATATTATTTTTATAGTTTGTTCCTAAAATGTATTACTCTATTCACCTATTACACTTTTTAAAAATATAATTTTAAGATAAGCCCCGTAGCGAAGTTGTTATCAGACAAAAATTAAAAATTTACTCTTAGAAATTTAATTAATTTTTTATCAATTAGCAAGGCAATGAAATGATTCACTGTTTATTTTTATTTTGTTTTTATTTATTTTTAGTTTGTTGTCAATGAGTGCACACTTGAACAAATAATAAAAATATAAAATGAAGAAATTAATCAAACATATTATCTCATAGGTGACCTAAATAATATATCTAGCATCAATTTAAATTACAGAATATTTGGCCAGCTGCTTTTATAAAACGTGTAATGCCTGAAAATCATAATGAAATAAATTTTAAATATGAGATGGTTAAAAATAAACACTGTGCTTAAAATATTTAAAAATTCCTTTAAACCTGAATTACATACTTTTGAAATTATTTTCACTTTAATCAAAATAAAGATTTTTAGATGAAGATATCTCTATATCTGTCATGGAAATTATCAAAAAAATCTAATTTCATATAAATAAATCAATAAATTATATTAAGTTAAAAAAATGCCAGGATTTATTTTATTTATAAGGACTCTAGAATGTTCTTTGTAGTATTTATTATGACTGTACTAAAGCATCCATTTTTATTGATAACATCACTAATTTCGGTTTTAGCTGGGTACAAAATTCATCACGATATTTTTAATAAAGATACAGAAAGACAAAGTTACCAATTAAAATATAATTTCATGTTTTTTTTTAAGTAGAAAAATCTATATCATACCAAATTTATAATTTTTATTCTTAATCATTGATTTTATTCTAAATTCTAAATTCAACTTACTTGCAAAAATTCAGGCCACTGGTTATTTCCATCATCATCTATTAAATTCCTAGCTACTTCTGCTACAACTTCACAAACTTTGTGACGTAGCTGATCCGTTTGTGCTTGCTGTACAGCTAGTAGGACTTGTTCTTTTAGCTGAACCTGGCTTTCTGGCGGTAACTTTGGATAGAAATCCATAAATTCATTTGAGAAGACCCTTCGAAGCAGAACTGCTGATATTTGTCTTGCATCTTCAGCCAAGGTGGCATTGTGAATAGCTCCCAATAAGTAACTAACTTTACTTTCGATAGGTAGGTTTGAATAAGCTTCCTAAACAAAGGACAAATTGTTAATAGTAAGTGGGAAAACTATAAATATACTTTTGGCGCCTTTTTTTGTTTGATACATTGAAATACCCTAATAAAAGGGTTCAGTTACATATTCAAAAAAAGGGCAAGAATTTTAAACTCGGAATTATGCACTACAATAGGGATTATTAATAACGAGACTTCTATTTTTTTTTGAAAGACACGCTTTGACACCGCATACACGTTGTAGAAAGACAATATTAAAACCAAAAAGTGACATTAAACTGCGATGCCGCGAAATACTTTTAAAATCTTAATAATCTTCAATTAATATACACCAGATTTACTCACTTCAGCTTGTGTTCTAATATTATTATCGGTGGATAAAAGTGTTGTCAATATTTGGTAAAATTGTTCTTGATCGGCCGCCATGGCGCCTTGTACTTAAAGAACGATTTGACAATTTCAACTTCAACAGGCTACCAACTGAAAAAAATGAAATAGCTACTGATTAAACCAAGATTGAACAAAAAATGTAACTATAAATTAAAATTTTATTTTTTTACCATTGGCGACACGGACATTCATATATAATTTTTTTTTAAATTTAACTCTTTCCACAATATTTATTAAAAATAATTTTAAAATTTACACCCATATTTATAAACTTAAAGCACCGGAGACCGTCGGAGACTAAAAACGTTTTATAAGGAAAGATAAACAAGTAAGTTAAATATATTTTTACCATAGAATAAAAACATATTTTCGTTTGACAGCGTTTTGACTTTTGACAGTTTTGGCTTGATCATTTTGATTTTAATTTTGATGGTGTGTGGCAAAGAGGTTATTGATTCCAAAAACTTGAAAAGTATCAATTAATAAAAATAAGGTAGATTATTAATAATTAGCACACCATACTTAAATGGCTGATGACGTTGAAAATGATGACCAGTGGTTGTATGGAGATAATCCAGACGGAAACCCCCCCGAAGAAGAAAAGCAAACTACTCCTGAAGAGGCTGTCTCTAACGATGCTGTTCCTCCGATTGAGCCATCTCCAATAAATTATCCTCAGGTTTGTGTTAATTTTCTGACCAAATAAACTCCGGTTAACGTAATGCAATGTTGAAAAAAATTTACTATAGATACAGAAACAGTAAACATACATAATAGTTAGTTTGATAAACTTTTATTTGTATTTAGGAACAAAGTAATGATGATAGACCTCCCGGTGTAGAAGATGAAAATGAAGAGAAAGAAAATGGAGAAATAGATAATGAACGAGAGGATGGGGAGCTTAGACAAAACGGAGATGATGATGAGGATTTAGACGATGAGAGTGATGATGACGTGAATGTTGTAATAGGAGATATAAAAACTACTACTTCTTATCCGCAACAAGTGAATATTAAAAGGGGTTAGTACTGTAACTTTTATTTGTATAGAAAAATATTTAACCAATATGTTTACCTAACTTAGGTGTTTTGGCAACTGCCATTGTTGATAAGAGTAAAAGTGTCCAGCAAACAGGCAAGTTTCAAGTGGAAGAGTTTGAACAAATTGGAACAATTAATGGAGTTCCAGCGTCCGATTATAATTTAGATTCTTTGGAGGACAAGCCCTGGAGAAAACCCGGTGCTGATATAACAGATTACTTCAATTATGGCTTTAACGAAGATACATGGAAGGCATATTGTGAAAGACAAAAAAGGTGTGTTTTAGGTTTGTTTATAAATTGTTATTTCCTTAAAACAAATAATTTTGTTATAGAATTCGCATAAATGAATCGGGTGTTGGAATTGTGCCATTAAATGCTATTGGATTACCGAGAGGTTCTGTTTCTGGTAATGATAATAATAAGTATCCAAATCAGGGCTTTATGCAAGGATCTAATATTAGACCCATCCAGACAACTACTAAAGCTAATGAACCACCAAAAATGAATACTATTCAGGTACATTAGAAAATTATCATCAGTTTTTTTTATTTAAAGGCTACTGTATTTCTTTAAAACATTTTTAAAAATCTCACCTTTTTTAATTTTTTAAATAATTTTTTTAGGTAATGACAGCTGACAGACGAGAATATAGTAGGAAGCCAGGTTTTCCAGATATGTCAGTACCACCACCAAATAGTTTCTCTGACCCTTTTCCTCCACCCGAATATGGCTTTAATCCTGAACCAGAACCGTTCTATGGTGGTTATGAACCAACACAAGATTCTCAGTGGAGTAAGTATTTATTCTAAAATGTTTGATGTTTGAAGTCATTCTTATTTGTTTTATGTGTATACCGGGTGCGTCTCAAAAGAGGCTCACCCCCTATAATTTTTTTATTTTTTCAGATAAAAAATACGATATTTGGTATGTTAGTATATGATATAAATTAGAATTGATTGATGGTATTCAATTGTTTTTGGACACTTTCTGTTTCACCGGAAATGACTACAACTTTTGATTTTTATATAACACCCTCGGTATTTTTTTGTATTTTTTTACTTTATTCGATATAAAATGACACTCGGAATAGAATGAAATAACATATGTCAACTTTTGATATTTTTGTGTAGCGTTTCTTTGAAATTGTAACATGCGGTTCATAACCACATTTTGACTCGAAATACCAAGTGTGTGGTACCAAATTATTCTTAAAAAAATACTTTTTTGGAATATGCTAAAGAGCCACCCTTGTTCCATTTGAAAAAAATGAGATATGATTAAAAATACGATTTGGGCATCTTTTAACTGGCCAGGACCAGTGTTGCCACAAGCTTATTTTTCATCGGGGTAGATTATCACGAGATAGCGGGGTTAAATTGTTTTACCAAACCAAACCAAACCTACCCCGAATGGGGTAGCTGTGGCAACACTGGCCAGGACAAGACACTAAAAATATTAGACCATCAAATCTGGTTTTCCAAGGCCCCTTGATTAAAAATTAGTGTTTTTAACATAGCCATGGCACTCTAGATTGAAATTTAAAATACGATTTTTTAAGTGAAAATGTCAAAAATTGACATATGATATGTCATTTTATTCAGAGTGTCATGTCTTATCGATTAAAGTAAAAAAATACCGAGGGTGCTATTTAAAAATCCAAAGTTGTAGTCATTTCCGGTGAAACAAGAAGTGACCGAAAACAATTGAATAGATACATCAATCAATCCTAATTTATGTCATATACATACCAAATCTGGTTTTTATCTGAAGAAATAAAAAGTTATAGGGGTGAGCCACTTTTGAGACGTACCCGGTATATGTACAGGGTGGACCATTTTGGTTGTTTCTATAGGGTATTTACGAAATCGTGAGAAATATTCAAATTTTGATATTGCAGTCTCGGGTTCTTTTTTTGAAAAAATCACAATGCCGCAACCGGATCGTGGCTATCTTGATCGGTTTCGAAGCTACAGGGGGATTCTCAAATTTTGTACTTTTTGAAGATGTTCGATAGTTTGTTTATTTCAGCAACCACAGAAAAATGAATTATACATTCTAAAGGCACTTTTCTGTGTAGAATGCAGTGGCGTAGTCAGACTTTTTTCGAAAAAATTTTTTTTTGAGATATTAACTATAATCATGTTTTTTTAAATAGAACCCCCTGTATATTTTTAAATTTTCTTATTCAGCTGGCAAGGGCTTCTCGAAAATATATAGCACTCTATATCTATTTTCACTATTAACCTCAACATTTCAAATTTTTCTTAAAATATCCACTTAGTAGATAGTAGGCCGCGCCGAGTAACAAAGTAAACGGTTGTCATGGTGATCGGGACATACATTTGATGGATGCGGGACATTTCATTTCAACCGATTGATGTGTGTGTACTTCAATCTGTTGAAATGATGAATTTTTTCGAAAAAAGTCTTACTACGCCACTGCATTCTACACAGAAAAGTGCATTTAGAATGTATAATTCATTTTCCGTGGTTGCTGAAATAAACAAACTATCGAACATCTTCAAAAAGTACAAAATTTGAGAATCCCCCTGTAGCTTCGAAACCGATCAAGATAGCTACGATCCGTTTGCGCCATTGTAATTTTTTCAAAAAAAGAACCGACTGCAGTATCAAAATTTGAATATTTCTCACGGTTTCCTAGATACCCTATAGAAACAACGAAAAATGGTCCACCCTGTACAATATGATGATGTTAAATTGGCTTAGAAATGACAATCACTGTCATTATATTATGTAAAATTATATGGTAAATGTCATCAATTCATGAAAGAATTGCAAATAAGTTATTTATTATTTCAATTAAGTTTATTATTTTAAGCTAATTAACGCTGTTTTTTTTGGTCATATAATACATATATCTGTTACTAGTGGTGATCTAGAAATAAGACTCCCAAATATTTTATGTATTCAATAGAATTAATGAATTAACATTTTAAGGAATATGGTAACTAAATATGGTCTTCCATAATGTCAATTATTTTACAATGTCATCATATATTACACTCTCAACAAAACATTTGTCAGAATGTATCTTGTGTGGTCTTTTGAGTTAGATTTTAATAAAAGAATAAATAAAACTGAGCATTGACAATAAGAAGTAATATATTAATTTTTTAAATGAGTGCAATAAATAATTATTGTCCATTTAACCATTTGTGTTTTTTTACTTTCAAAATTTAAAAACTGACTTGCCTGGTCTGTTTTATTTATGCAGAGATGTCACTTTTTGTTCGCCCCGTAATTTCTTTAATTTAATTAATTTTGAAAATATGTTTGAATCGCCCGATATGTTGACAAAAAAATTTTTTGAAGGTGCGTCAATATTTTTTTATACGTGATGCGTCTCAAAACTGGTTCACCCCTATAACTCTTTTATTTTTCCAGATAAATAAACGAAATTTGGTATGCTAGTATATGACATAAATTAGGATTGATTGACGTATTCAATTGTTTTTGGTCATTTTCTGTTTAACCGGAAATGACTACAACTTTTGGTTTTTAAATGGTACCCCCGGTATATTTTAACTTTATTTGATAGAAAATGACATTCCGAATAGAATGACATGCCATTGTCAACTTTTGACATTTTTGCCTAAGAAAATCGCATTTTATATTTCAATCTAGAGTGTCATGACAGAATTTTTAATCAAGAAGCCTTTTTTTGGGGAAAAATGATCGTCTAATGTTTTTCGTGTCTTGTCCTGGCCAGTTAAAAGATGCCCATATCGTTTTTTAATCATATTTCAATTTTTTCAAATGGATCAAGGGTGGCTCATTAACATATTTGGTAAACGCATTTTTTTACGAATAATTTGATACCACACACTTGGTATTTCGAGTCAAATTGTCGTTGTGAACTGTACGTTACAATTTCAAATAAACCATATGCGAAAATGTCAACAGTTGACATATTATGATATGTGATTGTATTGAGAGTGTCATTTTTTTATCAAATTAAGTAAAAAAACACCTAGGGTTTCATTTAAAAATTAAAAGTTGTAGAACAAACAATTGAATACGTCAATCAATCCTAATTTATGTCATATACTAACATACCAAATCTCGTTTTTAGGGTTCCGTACCCAAAGGGTAAAAACGGGAACCTTATTACTAAGACTTCGCTGTCCGTCTGTCACAAAGGTCTATCTTATGAACTGTTATAGCTAGACAGTTGATATTTTTACAGATAATGTATCTATGTTGCCGCTATAAGAACAAATACTAAGAACAGAATTAAATTAATGTTTATAAATAAAAAAGTACTTTGACTAAATATTATCTTTTAAGTAAGAATTTTACATAGAATCTTTCAAGTTCTCGGTGGCCGCGTGGTTAAAGCGTTAGGACTTTACGCTGCTATGACGTTGGAGCCGTAGTAAGGCAGGGTCGAATCCTAGTCAAGGCGACTTTTTTTAATCTTTTTTTTTTAATTTTTACATATTTTTACATATTTATTTTTACTTTTTACATATTTATTATTGATTAATACATTTTTCGTAATGTTTCTTCATTTTTTTTTTAAATTACTTATAGGCATTCAAAATTTCAGCTAAATCGGAAAGAAGTTTATAATAATATAGTGTCTAAAGTTGTATAGATAATGAATGCACTTGACCAATTTTTTATTTGAATAATTAAAAAAGTTATAGGAGTAACGCTTGGTCTCCCTGTATATAAATATTTTTGTGTACGGAATTTCCGTATAGCAGATTCGGAAAACTTATATTTGTTTATTGCAATTATTTTCAAGATATTACGTACTGTGTAACTTATTTGTTATTTTTGCAGTGGACGGGCCGGTAAATTCCAGTTGGCAGCCATCGGAAATCAAGACGCTGACAGGCGGCAGTCCACCTAGACCGGGTGGACACGGTATGGGTCCCCCACCTAGAGGGGGTCGTTCGCCGAGCCGGAGGAGTTCTTCGCGAGACCGAGAACGCGACAGGGAAAGAGAGGAGAGCCGAAGTCGTTCTGTCAAACCTAGGGACTACGAAAGAGAAAAGTAAGATATTAATTAGCATTGTTGTGCCATTTATATGCAGACCTCGTCATTGTTGTAATATAAATTATTGACTACAACTATTTTTATCGTATATTATCGGGAGAAGTTACTAGTCATTTTGTTGGGATTTTTGTAACACTATACAGGGTGTTTCAAAAAACATTTGCTATCTCTCGTCAAGAGATTCCTCACGTAAAAATAAGATTTATTTATCAACGTGGGTCCAGTTCAGCTTTGTTTCGTAGCTACAGGATGTTAGAGTCTTAATAGTTTTTTAGTTTATTATAATTTTTTTCCAAGTACTTTTAGCGATTAAAAAAATGCGACATATGTTAATGCTAAAAATGTGTGGACATATTCACCAGGGACGTGCATATGGGTTATTACTGGAATATCTTTCTAAAAAAAATGTACGCCACTGGCTTTTTTCTCTTATTAGCGAACTAGTGTAAGTCGTTTAATGCCGATTAAAAGTTGTCTCTTGATATTTTGTCGATATTGGCCTCCTTGATGAGATAAACGCAATTTACTAATTGAAGGGTGGAAATACCAAAGGGGGTAAGTGCCAAAATTATTTTTTCGAGATAAATGAGAAAAACACAGTAGAACTGAAACTAATAAATTTTTAAAATACATATGTATAATATACATAAACCATAGACACTTTCTCTTGGCACTTATAACTTTTGTTAGGACATGCAGCATAGTACCGTATGATCGAATAAAAACAAAAAAAGTTATGAATTTTTTCAAAAAAATAATGGCCTTTCTTTTTTCAAATAACCATAACTTTTTCAACAACTGACCTTCTGGGACCGCACCACATAGAAAATTTTTGTTTTTAAATGTTCTTTTCAGAAAAATATACAAATTTTTTTTCGAAGATCGTGTTATATGAAATTTTTTAAGTTCGCCATTTTTTATTTTTTTTTCTCATAAAAAACTCTATCAATTCTACAATGATCCCCACTATTTCTGGAGTGGGCCGATAACTATAGAGATAGATATTATATTCCTTATTTCTTATTTCTGCCTAACAGCGCTTTCAGATGGAGCGGACCGTCCGGTCCGCGACGGACCGTCCGTCGTGTTTTTTCAACATAGCCGATTTATAGCGCTGTATTATAGCGATTTATAGCGCTGTAAGACTATAAATCTGTGGTACTTACAGCGTTTTCAGATGGAGCGGAGCGTCCGCGACGAACCGTCCGCTACTTCGAGGAAGTACCATGAGTTTATATGAACAATTCCACATGGGCGCGTATGCTCCGTCCGACGGCTATGTTGAAAAAACACGACGGAGGGTCCGTCGCGGACCAGACGGTCCGCTCCATCTGAAAGCGCTGTTAGGCAGAAATAAGAAATAAGGAATATAATATCTATCTCTATAGTTATCGGCCCACTCCAGAAATAGTGGGGATCATTGTAGAATTGATAGAATTTTTTTATGAGAAAAAAAAAATAAAAAATGGCGAACTTAAAAAATTTCATATAACACGATCTTCGAAAAAAAATTTGTATATTTTTCTGAAAAGAACATTTAAAAACAAAAATTTTCTATGCGGTGCGGTCCTAGAAGGTCAGTTGTTGAAAAAGTTATGGTTATTTGAAAAAAGAAAGGCCATTATTTTTTTGTAAAAATTCATAACTTTTCTTGGGTTGGGTAAAAAAAATTGGAGAGACGTCTTTGATAGGGTAGAAAAGGACAAAGCTCTTTTAGCTAAATCTAAAGAGGTCGGGTTCAAAAGTGGTCGATTTGGCATGCTATACCCCATTATTATCTTATCCTTAAATAAATTAGGAAAAAATAAACTATTTTAATAACTTTCATGTATATTACTGAAATGAAGATAATATAAATCTAAGCTAAATATAATTTATTACAGCTGTAGTAAAATGAGTAACTAATTGTGAAAAATAAAGTTCCAACCTTAGATGCAACTAGTTCCAACTATAGTTCCAACTTTTTTCGTAAAAGCTTACTTCTGCGGTTTGAAATTTTGATACAAAATCCGACAATACCACATAGAAAAAATCTATCAACCCAACGTTTATCTCTTTTAAATACATTTGATTTTTCATTAAGCTGTCTACATCGCTGTCTTTCACCTTAAAATCCAGACCACGCTTTTACGATAATTATGGATATTTTTTTTGTTTTAGATCTCGTCGAAGAGAACGATCCAGAAGTAGGTCCAGAAGACATCGGTCAAGATCTAGAAGTCCTGGGCATCGTTCTCACAAGAAAAAGAAGTCCAGGAGACACGAAGATAGCGATTAGATGTCTACATAATATCATTTTATTTATGTAATACTTAACAATCAATATAAAATATACTTAAGTCGCCAATCAAACCTAATATTTTCATTTCAACTTTTGAATATCATTATTTTATCTCACTTACCAATATGTGTCCAGGGCTTGTCCAATATTTCAGATGTTTTTTGTTATAATTTAAAAAGATATAAAAAATTTGAAATATATGCTATCTAATTTGAAACGTTGAAGGTGTTTTAGAGTGAACTTAATTATATTTTGTATGATCATTTGGTATTTTAATCTTTAACAAATGTTTCATTTCTGTAATTCCGAATTTTGCATTAGAAAATATTGTGTTAACTACGATGGGTTTGTAAATTAAGTCACAATGAAATACATTTTAAGAATTTTACAAGTTCAGTTTCAGTTTATTTTTCTTTAAATTTAAATAAATTCATTCTTTGTGTTTTCTTAATTATCAAGAAGTAATAGTTGGAGGTAAATAAAATAATAAATAAATCACACACACACACACAAGTAAATCATCATTTATTGCGTAAAATGTAATTTTCATCAGTATAACCAAATTTTCCAGAAATATTTTTAATTGTGTAAACTTTGGTATAACTAAAATAAAAATACACATTTTTCCCGCATTGCTTTTCTATATGACATTGGGTATGGTAAAGCTTTGAACAATAGTTTATTAATTGTTAAAATAATCAAAATTATTTAATTTGAATTTATTTCAGCTCTCTTTTTACTTATACTAAATTAAATTTATCCAATAAAAATATCAATTTACATTGCTTTAGCACATCGTATTTCGCCAACCTATAGTCTGCCCAAAGGCTCCAGAGAAGATTTCGGCAGTCAGTATCCAAAAAATGACAGAAAATAAAATTTGCCTGTGAATTAAAATGACAGACACAACTGTCACTGTCAGGGATCCTCGCGTTGGACAGATTATAGGAAATGGTATGTTAAAAAAAGCAAAGCAACTAAAAATTACCGCAAGAAAAACTAACATAATATGATTGAAAAGTTTTATGATCAAGCGTGCTTTGTATAATGATGAAAATTGCATTAGAATATTTTAACTGTCAAAGCGCGCTTGATTAGGCTGCATGAATTACGTTAAAATAATCCAAACATCTGGTACACATTAAAATAAAATCGGAACGTGAAAGAATAAAAAAATCTAGAATTCGTAATAATATGCTGGATTGCCCTCTACATGGTGGATCAATATATTCTGAAATTGCCGAATCATATCGCATTATACCGTATGATCGAAAAAAGATGGTGTCCAGTTGGCTTGGAACTGAAGTTCGGTGACATTCCCCATATAAATTTACATATAAAATGACAGAGGTATCTTTATTTCATAGCTATCGCTTTCGATCATATTGTAGTTTTACAGGATGTCCCCAATTCAAGGAAGACCATTGGTATATCAAAAGTTCAAAAAGGTAAAATATAAGAAAGTATACCAAACGATAAAAAAAACGGCGCCAAAGACGGCTGGGAAATGATAATTTTGGCGAGGTCAAGCCCTACACGTCATTTCCTGGTCTCTTCTTTATTTTTTAATAGCACTTAAATTAATCTTTCTGTAATTAGGGGTTGGTTTGGTTTGGAATGAGTAGTATATGTGTGGAAAATCTGTGAATTAAAATGACAGATACGATCTCACTGTCATATATGGATCCCCTCGTGGCTCTCATTGGCTAGGTTATATCAAATTTTGTGAGTGCAGACCTAAATGTATACTAGTAAAGAATATTTTAATAAAATTATAATATTCTTTGATACTAGTGATGATGCGTTGGAACAGGAAATAAATGTTATTCTCGAAACAGGTTGGTTTTGAGACTGGCTTGGAACAGGTTAATTAAAAACTCAAACGTTACGATTGTGACTTTAAATTTCGATTGGTGTGACGGAACGACTGATGACGGATGCTTATAAACCATATAGATAAATGCAACAAATAAACCCACCTTAACTGTTAAGTCATCATAACCCAGCCATAGCCTGTCTGGTTATTTGTATCGGTATAGGTATACAGGGTGAGTCTTAAATAAGTGCAAATATTTCTAGGGGTAATTTATTTCAACCCCAGAAACACGTCTATGAGGAAAAATAAAATTTTAAAATTTGGAATTTTTTTAGTTTTTAGTTGAAAAACATAATTTCTTGATAATATGGCAACATAGGTATATAGTAGCTAAATTAAATTTACAAGAAAGAAAACTCCAGTGATTCTGAAAATTTAAGCAAAAAATCATTTTTTTTCACACGTAACAAAAATATTAATTTTTGCGATGTGATTGACAATCTAAAAAAGTCATTTTAACGCCTAGGCATAAAAGTAAAGCACGTTTACGCCCACTTTACGCCTATACATAAAAGTACGAAAATATATTATTAAACTGACATAAGTGTCAAATTCAACGAGCGTAACCATTAGTTTCTCGATATATACAAGCAAGGATACAAGGTATGACTTAAATCTTTTTATACCGTATGATCGAATAAAAACGGCGTCCAGTTGGCTGGGAAATGACGATCGATGACATTTCCCATATAATTTACATATCAAATGACAGCGATCTTCATTTCATAGCCATCGTTGACGCCGTTTTTTCTCGATCATACGGTATTATTTGGAACGTTTGAAATTGTTTAAAAAATATTTGTGGCGTTTGAAAAATCAAAATCAAATTTAAAATATTCAAAATAAAATTACTTGGTTATTTTGAATATATTTGAAAAACGGCAAAGAGAAAATATATGTCTCTTTTATCGACATATACCAGCTCTGAAAATATTTGCGCTAATTATTAAGACTTACCCTGTATATTTAACAACAAACAACACAGATATAACATAGTAAACTATGCTATCTGTGCAAACAATAATAAAACTATTAATATAAAGACATCCTGTATACCGGGTGCGTCTCAAAAGTGGCTCACCCCTATAACTTTTTTATTTTTTCAAATAAAAACAACGAGATTTGGTGTGTCCAAACCACACCAAACCAAAACTATATATGACATAAATTAGGATTGATTGACATATTCAATTGTTTTTGGACACTTTCTGTTTCACCGGAAATGACTACAACTTTTGATTTTTAAACGGTACCCTCGGTATATTTCTACTTAATTCATTCGATAGAAAATGACAAGAATGACATATCATATGTCAACTTTGACATTTTCGCTATAATTTTCTTTTATATTTAAATCTAGAGTGTTATGCCTGTGTTAAAAATACTAATTTTTAATCAAGGAGCCTTGGAAAAATAGATTTGATCGTTTAATGTTTTACGCGTCTTGTCCTGGTCTGTTAAAATATGCCCAAATGGTATTTTTAATTGTATCTCAATTTTTTCAAATGAACCAAGGGTGGCTCATTAGCATTTTTGGAAAAACATTTTTTTATGAATAATTTGTTACCATCACACACTTTTAGTATTTCGCGTCAAATTATCGTTATGAATCGCATGTTACAATTTCAAATAAACCATATACGAAAATTTCAAATGTTGAAATATGATATTATGTTACTCTATTCAGAGTGTCATTTTCTATCCAAAAAAGTAGAAATATACTGAAGGTAAGGTGGCTATTTCCGGTGAAACAGAGGAAGTACCAAATACAATTATTATTGAAGATGTCAATCAATAAAAAAAGTTATAGGGGTGAGCCCTCTCTTTCAAGGCGCACCCGGTATATGCGCTACAAATTGCACCGCAGCTTATAAATAAAATATTTATACAAACTGATTAATTATTTATTAATTATTAGTATGTATTCTAACTACCATGTAGAAAATGATATTGAATAGTAATTCTAAAATGTGTTGATTAAAATAAAAATAGATGAAAAGACTAGCTGATGATGTTCTACAAAAACTAAATTGTAAAAATTTACATTGCGCGATAATAGGAAACAAAAGTCACATTCTTGATAGAAAAACAATTTCTTTGGAATTATAATAATGCTTGTATAAGCAAGCGAAATTATTTGCAGAGTAATTTCAATTTACTTCCAGTACATATAGACTTCCTTTATTAAATTATAGTGCACTTTTGTTGCTATTCAGCATTTTTACTATTTATTTCATTAAAACGCTAGAAACATATAAAACTAACAATTTACATACAATAGTTAAAAAAGAATTGAAAATGACATAAATCACTACAATATAAATATAGATATGAAATTGATTTTAAATTGCGACGAAAAAAAATGCGCCTTGTAAAAATAATTGAATATTGAATTAAAATTGAATTTATTCCGCCTCGCATACCTACTCTACAAATAATGTAATTAGACATTGAAAGAATCGATAAATATATTAAATAAAAATATCTATGTAACTGCAAGTTTATTTAATATGAAATTAAATAATAGATTTTGTTTTTAAAATGGGTCAATCTATTTTTTCATCTCTGACAACACCGCTGGACCGATGACGACGCATGCTCATTTCCATCGACGAATCGTGTGCGCCTGCTCAAGAAAGACAAAGTTCTGTCAATTTTTTAACAGATTTGTGTTTCCAACACTATTCAAGTTTTGAGTGTGTAGTCGCCTAAATATTGATTATTTTTACTTGTTTGTGCAAATTATTATTTAACCGGCATATTTGAACGAAAAGACAGTGTTCCCGTACGATTGACTCCTCGAACTAAAACGTGTTTTTCGGTGTCGGAGTTGCTGTGATGTGAGATACACAATATTTTGTTCGATTTATCGCAAAGAAACATTGCAATAAAAAATGTTTTGCCGGTTTACAAATCGCGAATAATAAACATTTGTGTGAATTAAAAACATTCAGATACTCGATACAGAAGTTGTCTTCGAGCTACAAAACAGTTTAATGGAATTTGTCTGAAAATACACAGCACTGAAAATGTAAGTTTTTAAAAGCCTACTTTTGCAATGTTTTCTTTCTAGTTTTGTAACAATTTTACGCACTATAAACATGTTATGTAAACAACGTTTTTTTCTCCTAATTTAAAAAAGGTATAATTATCACAACTCGTAATAAGTCTGAGTAAAACAAATAAGATAAAAACGTGCACATGAAGTGTTGTTTTTGTCTTAAATACATACAATTATTTAATATCTGCTGTGACGTATTTTGTAAACTTATTGAGATGCTGTTGCTGAGAGAGACAGAACATATTGCCATCGTCCTTGTCTCTAGGAGGTCAAGGATCCAAGGTCAGCAAGGGGGCGGCTACCCCTCGTGCCGCCACTCCACTATCCTACTTCGTAATGCCCTTTAAATAGCAGCTTTGTTGATATTTTTATTGGGCTGTTTCTGATTTGGGTTTGTTTTGCTTTTTTTTCTGTTTTCTGTTTACATATTTTGTTTATAAATATCTTTA